GCAAGTGCGAAGTCATGAGTTCAATTCCCAGTACCAAAAACAAAACCAAAAAAAAAACCTTCATAAAATAATAGCCAAAAGTACCTGCAATTAGATGAAAACAATTTATGCACACACAAACCTCACTGCACTTCAAGAAAGACAAATTCAAACATTCACCTTGAAATACATCATAAACTTTTGAAAACTAAAGACGGAAAAAACATCTTGAAAGCAGTAAAAATTAAGTTATCACATGCAAGAAATCAGCAATAAGATAGCAGTAAGACCAAAAGGCAATGGATGGACCTATTCAAATTGCTAAATAAACTATCGCTGAGAATTCTGCATGGACCCTTGAAATACACAGGTGAAACTAACATGCTGAGAAACCTGAAGTGTGTTGCTAGCAGACCTTCAAAGAAAAGCCACAGGCATGGATGAACGCCTTCAGTTAAAATGAGAGGACATTAAACAATTAACTCAGGTCCACATAAAGACATAAAAAACACTGGAAAAGGAAACCATGAGAATGACCTCACCAAAGAGAGGCTATCAATTAGGAGACAGAAGTTCTAATAATGAATCAAATTATGGATTCAGAAAAAATACAATGAATGAAGTGAAAATAAAATGTATTTTTGGCATGTAACTCCTTTTTGTTTCCTGTGTGATTTGAAACACTAAGCACTAGCAATCTACAATGCAAAAAATGAATTTAAAGAATAACACTTATATCTAAAAATAATAAAATACTTAGGAATAAATTGCACTAAAAGTACAAGATTTACACTTAAAAAATTTCAGAATACTGTTTAAAGGCATTTTTAAGACTCTAAATAGAAAGATGTTCCATGTTCAGGTATTTAATTTAATATTAAAACAGAAAATTTAGTATTGTTTAGATAGCAATGTTCTTCAGATTGATGCACAGATTTAAAACGCTCCTTTAAAAAATCTCAGCTGTGTTTCAGAAATTGGCAAATGGATCCTAAACCTCACATGGAAAAGTAAGGAAACCAGAATAGGTGCACAGTCTTGAAAAAGTAGAACAAAATTCTAAAGACATTTCCAATTCCAAAACTTATTACCATGCTATAGTATAAAAGTATACTGGCATAGAGATAAGACAATAGATCAATTTAATATAAAACAAAGCACACAAATAAAATCAATATCTACAATCAACTGATTTTTGGCAATGGGAAAATAATGTCTATTCAACAAGCAGTACTGAAAAATCTAGATAAGCACATTCAAAAGAATAAATTTAGCACCAATCTCACACAATATACAAAAATTAATTTCAAATGCATTAAAGAACTAAGAACTAATGTATACAAGTTAATAAATATGAAACGGTTCAAAGTAAATATAGAAAAAGTTAACTCAAAATGGATGAAAGAACAACCGTGTAAAAGGTGTAACTATAAAACTCCTACAAGGAAATAGAGAAGTAAAATTTTTGCAATCTCCAATTAGTCAACAGTTTCTTAAGATACTGCCATGCCTTATATCTAGATGCTTATCCCCACGCCTCACATGCTCACAGGTGGGGCTTTCTGGAGGTGGTTGGATCTAGGGTGTGTGATGCTGGGAGTGAGGATGTGATACTGGGGTTGATTTATGGTGCGATGATAGGATAAAGCTGCCCCATCCTGGGTCTGAATGCTATCCACCTAATGGTGGGTATCCTGGATACAATATAAGGGACAGAAAGAAGGTCCCTGCTTGTCACTTGCTACTTGCTGCTTTGCTTCTTCACTACTTTGCAAGCTTCTGCCCACCATGAACTGTTCCTCCTTTGCGAAGCCCCTCTACCATACCACCTGCTTTGTAGCCAACCAACTATGACTTGAAACCTCCACAAACTTGAGAGCTAAATAAACCTTTCCACCTTTAATTTAGGGCATTGGGTATTTTATGTCAGTAATGAGAAAAGTAAGACAGACATGATAGCAAAAGCGTAAATAAAGAAAACATAGTAAATTGTCCTCTGCCCAAATTTAACACTTTGTTAAAAAAAAGTGGGAAAAGTAACTGTAAATAATATATGAAATTAAGACTATATGGAAAAAATTACTGCAATTCAATAATAATTAAAAAATGCTAACTGGGCTGGGGACTGGGGATATGGCTCAGCAGGACAAGTTCCTGCCTGGCAAGCACAAGGTCCCCAATTTGATTTCTGATTAAAAAAAAAAAACATTATCATTTATTACAGTGGTTGTCTTACTTTTCTCTCACTGCTGAGACAAAAATACCCAACATTCAAAGTTAAGGCAGGGGGGCTGGAGATTTAGCTTAGCGGCATAAGCGCCTGCCTTGCAAGCAGGCAGTCGTGAGTTCGATCCCTGGTACCGATAAAAATGAAAAAGACAAAAAACAAAGTTAAGGCAGGAAAGGATTATTTTGCTCACAGTTTGCGGAACTTTCAGTTTATAATCATCAGGCTCCAAGCAGGGTGATGTGACAAAGGAGCAACAGTTCATGGTAGCCAGAAGACAGCAAAAGCAAAATGGAGGAGCATAGAATGAAGATTCTTTCTATCCCTTATAGTGCATGTAGGCTACCCATTCTAGGGTAGGTGTAGCACTTACATCCATAATCACAGCAATGGACCATGAATAAGTCACAAACTCTGTACGCCTGCCCCATGACTGCTTGAGGTCTTGAGGGGGCCATTCAGACAAAAACCATACCAGTGGCTGAAGACATTTCTCCAAAGAAGATACCCAAATGGCCAATAAGCACATGAAAAGGTGTTCAACCTCATTAGTTATTAAGGAAATACAAATCGAAACTATGATGAAATATTGCTTTACCTCCACTAAGATGACTATAATTTTTAAAAAAGTGAATGTGTAGAGAAATCAAAATTCCCATACCATGCTGGCTGAAGTATAAAATGATACTTAAAACTGTGGAAAACATTTTGGCAGTTCCTTAAAAGTTAAACACAAATATTACCATATAATCCAGGAATTCTATTCCTGGGTACACAGCCAAGATATACTTTACACACAAAAACTTGTCCATAAATGGTCATAGCAACATTATTCATAATCATCAAAAAAAATAGAAACAACCCCAATGTCAATCAACTGACTAATATATGAATAGCGGCATATCCATAAAATGCAATATTATGTAGCTACTTTTGAAATACTGATACAGGTCACAGTGTAGATGCATTTTGAAAAAAAGATGCAAAATATTGGTATGATTCCAATTACATAAAATGTCTCCAAGAAGACAAAGTAAATTAGAGGTTCTAAGATTGGGAGTGAATAAGTTGGGGTGTACTGCTTAATGGTTATGGGATTTCTTTTAGGGGTGATGAAATCCTCTTGAAATGGATAATGGTAATGGCTGTAATATATTGTACATATACTAAAATCCAATATATTATACACTCTAAATGGCTAAAATGATTTAAGTTATGTGAATGTCATCATACACAAGAACAATTTCCACTTAAATGAAACATATGTAACTGATAGCTATATAACCATTTCATTATAATTTGAAATTCTGTTGAGTACATGTCTAGTCTTTGTAAAGTATGGCTTCAAAATTCTAGATTCTTACAACATACATATAGATACCAATGCTGCCACCACCGCCACGCCACCTCCTTTCCTCCTTCTCCTCCTCTTCCTCCTCCTCATCTTCAGGTACCAGGGACTGAACCCAGGGCCTTCACACTGATTTACATCTCCAGACCATTTTATTCTGTTTTTTTTCCCTCCCATTTTTATTTTGAGACAGAATCTTACTAAATCACAAATTTATTTGCTGTTTGTACCTCTTCATCTGAGAAGTGTATTCATCTCAGATGTCCATCTTTGGATTAGGTCTTTAAATTTGAGGAGAGGTCTGATTTTATTATTATTAATCTTTTTGAGTTCTTTATATATCCTTGCTAGAATTCTTTGTCTGAAGAACAGCTGGAAACATTTTTTTCTAACACTGTGGACCATCTTCTTACCCAGTTGGTGGTTTCTCTTGCTATGCAAAAGCTTTTTAATAAGATGAGACTCCAGTTGATTCTGTGGGATTGTTTCTATGCTCACTAACTCACTAAGTTGCCCTGACTGGGCTTGGACTTGCAATCCCTGTGTTTCAGCCCTCCAGAGTGCTGGAATTACAGGTATATACCACCATGCCCAACCACTGCATCTTTATTATGACTATAACTTATGTCAAGAGCATAAGATAGTAATTAAATTGTTTTAATAATAGTTATTATACAAAGTGAACTGGTCAATAACGAACAATTTGAACAAATTATCCTATAGACAAGATATAGAGGGTTCCCTATGAAATTTGACTTTAAAAAACATCTACAGGGGCTGGGGATTTAGCTCAGCGGCATAAGCGCCTGCCTTGGAAGCAGGTAGTCGTGAGTTCAATCCCCGGTACCAATAAAAAAAAAAAAAAAAAAACTACAGCAGATAATTTGGAAAACGTGAATTAATTATTTACAATAGCCTTTGGATATATCTAAGTATTTTACAATAAAAAGTCAGTTGCTTTAAAAAACAGCAGAGTCAATTTTATGTTAACACCTGCAAATTCTGACAACTGGGAATCAATCTCATTGTGTGTCAATTGCCTGGATGAGTGAGAAAGGCAACTGGCTGCTAGCTGCAAAAGCTAACGTCTTTGGAAAATTATAATTACAAATTTGTAACTAATAAAGGTAATGAAGTAAAAAGGTAAATTACTGAAAACCGCCTCCTCAAATTAGAAAGGACAAAGCTATCTGAACAGTAAAACAGAATCCTCAGATGTCATTGTTCTGAAACAGGAATAAGATTCATGAAAGGCTTTATATTTCAACAATAGTGATCATTCTGCAAAATACAAAATATCACAATAAGAAGGTAGAAATTGAAATAATTTCCAAGAAAGGATTATTTTTAAAAGACATAAGGGCTGGCCCCTATTATCAAGTCAATATACTGATACTGTTCACAATCAATAAACCAAAAAAGGAAAATAAGAAAAGCATTTACCTCTTCTAAGCTAGGGAGCGAAGAAGAAGATACTGTTCGAGATGACAATGGATGAAATGGCTCTTGACCAATAGCGTGTTGATGGTTTTGTATTTGTACAAAAGGGTTCTGTGGTGGCCTGTGAGGCAATGGAGGTAGGCCATAAGGAAATCCTGGCCCTATTAAGTGATTCTGTTGCAGGTTAGCAAAAGTCCATGCTCCGTCAGGTGCCAGGTACTTCAAGGGAGGAGTGGCAAGGTGTTCAGATGGCAACGAGAAAGGTGAGCTGAGTATCTGAGGTGGAAGGCGCTGTGGAAATGCTGGGCTGTTGGCTACTTCAATGTCTCTGCTGTTGTCATTAAAGTTAGAAAAGGGGCTACTGTGGTCTGTACTGGATGGGGGAGATGGGGCTGCTGGTGGGCTTCTCGCCTGAACTTGTCTATATTGCAAAAGTCTTGACTGAGGTGGTGGCATTTCAGCTCGTTCTCGAGTTTCACTCTGATCACGATGAGACAGTTCTCTGATTAAATCTTGAAACCTACATGATGACAATAAGATATGAAGAGGAAAACATGGAAAATCTACATTTATTTAAGGGCTGAGTCAACTACCTGTATAGTTTTAGCAAACCAAAGAATAACAACCAGAACCAGAGTTAATTTATACCAAATGTAAGCATTACCACTCAACAGATTGTGAACTGAAGACACTCAATATGCTCAGTCACCTAACTGGCAATTCTTTGTACTTGAAAACATCTGCCCTTGCCTACACAGGATAACTGAATGTTACAAAACACCACTATACTGGTGGGCCTTATTCAAAAAGACTTAGTAAACACTTTAGAACATTCCCATGATAATAGCCACAAAAACAGGTTTCACATCAAAGTTATCTGTTTGTAGTTATAAGGATGACGTCTGCCCTACAAGAAAAAAAGTTAATAATGAATTTAAAATCTTTAAATTTTAACCATTAATTTACTTCTGTCCTTACTCTTTGGAAATATTACTACTGGGGGAAAAAATACCATCCACAGTGATGGACTGCTTCTCTTGCAGAATTCACAAAGGAAAAGACAAATTTAACTTACAACCCAGAATAGATCACCCATACTCAGATTTGTCAGTTACTTCTAAGTAAATTCACTGTATTTTAGAGTTAATCAAGAGAGCTACTTTGTAGCATGTATCAAGAAAGCTAGGATTCAATTTCTTTGAGACAATATTTCAATTTGATGCAAACAAAGCCGCCATCAAGAAAAAAAACAGAGAGGTCATGTTTCAGAGGTTGATTTCTGTGTGCTGGAATACCTCGAGAATGTTGTTTCTGCTTCATCCTCAGCACTGCTGGGGAGCTTCCAGTCCGCCCTCACTGGCGGCTGATGGAGTCCCATGGGCGGCTGAGGAAGATGCTGGAGGTGAGGATGGTGGTGTGGATATGGAATACCACCCTGACTGAGATAGGCATGGTGTTCATTCCACTGCTGCAGACGCGCTTGCTGCTGCCTTAATGATTCCAGAGTTACACTCCCATGTATACGCTCTGCAGAAATATTTGTGAAAAAATTAGTTACACATTTAGGTTCTCAAGTTACTTTTTCAAGGATTTTTATAACAGTATTTTCCCTACAAAGATAGAGAAATGCCTATACTTTCATTTTCATAAGAAGTATATGATTTAATTTTGAGAAAAACTAAATGATGATAATTTTGAGAAAAACTAGATGATGATAATAAATTTTCCCTTCTTATATAGTGATACAACACAACATCACCGGGATGCTTAGAATTATATAATCACACTCAGAACTAGATTCTTATCATCACACTTAGTGGTTGATTTTTGTAGACATCTGCAGAAATGAATCAAACCTGGCCCAAACCAATAATGTAGAATACATGTTATTTTAAAAATTTTTCAATTTTTCGTAGATGAACTTACCTAAAGCCTCTCCTATCGGTAATCCTGGGGGGTTCTCATCAATGAAGTTATTCAGATGAGAAGCAATGAGAGGACCAGGCTGTGCAATGGCTCTCAGAGGACTATGGCCTTCTTGCAGCATAGGAGGAGGCTGCTGTTCAGGAATCACAGTCTCTGCAGGAGGAGACTGTGGTTGATGAGAAACTGCATTATGAAAAAAAGCACTGTTTGGTCCTGCCTGATAGGCAGGAGAAAGTTGAGGAGGTGGCTGCTGGACTTGTGGATTCAACTGATTTTGCTGCTGGACTACCTGATTTGGTTGTGGTGGCATTTGATTTGGTTGTTCAGGCAAATTATTCTGCTGTTGATTTAGCAAGGTGTGTTGCTGTGGAATTGGAAATGGTGGTCGTGGCAGCTGGGGAAGAGGGTGGAAATGACGACTAGGGATTGCATACTGTGCATGGGGACCAGGAAGAGGAAGATTTATGTGTCTTGGGTTGAGATTATCTTTGCGAGGAAATTTGGTATTGGGATAAAAAACACCAGGACGTGATTCAGGACTTCTATTCTGTGGATTTGATTCCAAATCAACCTACAAAAAAAAAAAAAAAAGCTTTTTTAATTGTAGAAGATCTGAGTTTGGTGGCATTCCATCTTTTCCCAATCCTAGAACATCAAAAGGATATTATACATTCTTAGCAGTGCAAAATCAATCATTAAGATGGGAATATTTTTTAAATTAAAAACAGAAAAAAACAGAAATTACATGAGTTATACAAAAAGATACTGCCATTTCATTAAGCATACCTACTTTAACTCCTACAAGAACATTACTTTAATGTCACATTTTTTACCTTAATCATTTATTTCCTTTTTTTTTTTTTTTTTTTGTACTGGGAATCAAACTCAGGATCTTACACTTGTCAGGCAGGCACTGTGCCACTGAGCTATAGCCCTGGCCCTTTCCACATCTTAAATAAATCAACAAAATGTATCCTTCGATTCTGATTTTATTGTTTTTATACCTGATCTATTTCCTCAAACATACCAATATTAATAAATTTATTTCAATTTACACAACTTTGGAATGAAAATACAGATACTGTATAATCTTTATATAACCAGTTTCAAAGTTTCTGATCTTTGCTATTACTCAATACTGACAATCTTTAACATTTGCGCCCGATTTTGGTAATTTAAAAACAACAGTAAGACTCAGCCTACACTCTCTTCAAGACCTTACAGCAGGAGTCTGTAAACCAGAGCTCCCAACCATACAATCTGGATTTTTGTAAGTAAAGGTTTAGGAAACATAGCCACTCATTCATTACCTATTATCTATAGCTGCTTTTACACTACAATGACAGAGCTAAACAGTTGCAACATGAGCTCATGAAACCTAAGATTTACTGTCTGGCCTTTTACAGAAAGTTTCTTAAGCTCTGGTTTATAGTCTAGTGTAGGATATCAACATGTAAACTTATAACTACAGATTCTGTAAGAGGATGTGATATGAAATCCTAGGGCCCAGAGATTAAGGAAGGATTCACAAAAGTGATAGATTTTGAGATGAATCTTACAAACAGTGTTGGAATATTATAAAAGGAAAAGACATTCTAGCTGAAGGTAACAGTTTATGCTAACGTTGAGAGAGGAGAAAAAGTATTGTGAATTTTGGGAGCATGGGACATTTTGTGTGTAAAAAGTCAAAACTTCACCTATTTATATGTTAGCTTCCCCTTCTTGACAAGCAAAAAAAGACTCCAATTGCACAAGATCTTGAATTACTCAATATTGAGTATAAACACTGATTTTAATCCCATTAAACTATGGTAAACTACCAAAGGTTTTTAAAAGGAGAGAGCAGTGTTGTCCTTCTGAAATGTAAGTTTGACTGTGAGTGGAGATATAGTGAAAAACAAACTCTAAGGTGGGAAGAGGAAATTTTTCTTTTCCAGTTCTGATAATGAAGCTGTTGCAACAAATGATTGTGATACCAATCATGTCCTGAATGCATTCCCACCTCATATCATCTAGTTCAAACGGACACTATTAAATTTGGCCCTTTTAAGTCCTTAAGATTTCTGGAGATCTATAAAATTATCTATAAAAAGAAGTGAGAAGGATGACAACTCTGCCCAGTCTTTTCAAGCAGTTGCCATGTCTATTCTTTAAGTGTCTTAAAATTCTTTACAGGGCCAGGGAGTTAGCTCAGTGGCTCAAGGGCTTGTCTGGCAAGTATGAGGCCATGAGTCTAAACCCTAGTACCAAACAAACCAACCAACCAACAAACAAACAAAAACCAAAAAATCCCCCTAAAACAAAGATTCTTTACAAGTTAACATTTTCCTCTATGAATCTTCACTTGATCAACGACCAAGTCAACAACAGTCTGGAATATGTCTTTGTCCAGAAGACACTGTTGATATCCATGATTTGATCATATGAGGAAGACTGTAAGTAGATGTCAAAACTATTTGTAGACAGGTTGCTGTCTTAATTGCCTCTATCACTTCTGACTTTGCAAAAGTCAGAAAGCTAGGTTTGTGTCACAGAAACTTAATTCATGATTATGCTATGGTACAGTCCTACCATAGGCTTAGCAAGACTACAACACCTGAAGGAACCTGTGTTACCTAATCAGAATTCGATTCTCCTCTAACCACTCTCTTCTGAACACTAGAGTCAAAGAGAATGAGGAGTTCTTTTATTTATACTTCCTGGGCCCCATGACAAAACACCAGGGAGGAAAGAAAATGAAACATGTCCATCAGGTGATCTAGTCTTCTAACAGAGATTTATAACAAAAATTTAAAAAGAACGTAAGAGGTACTTAGTTCTCTTGGGTTTAGTTGCTTCAATAACACCAAAGATTCATGTGGTTAGTTTTGTCTTGAGCTGCCTCTGACTACATCTGTTATTACCACACAAACCTAAAATGTCATTTCTTCTGTACCCTCAAACATGCACCATGGTGATTTTCACTGCACCTCCCCTCTTCCTATTCAGAAACGGTTTCCCTTGCTGTGGCTCCTCCTACAGTATGAAATTCTTCCATCTACGTCTACTGGTCAGTCAGAGGTGCCTATGGACATGAGAAACTGAACACTGAAAATAGCTACCCAAAGCTAGGAGGAAGCTGAAGATGCAGATGTGGAAGTCATTTTTATGGTGTGGGTAACTGAAATTCACTGACTGGGCTACTTCATAATAAACAATCATAGAATGGCCATAATAGAATGGCCAATCATAGAATGGCCATAACTGGGAAGTCCCAATTTAAGGACACACAGTGCGGGTGAACTGGAAGTGAAATGAGGAACAGGCAGTCACAGTAGAGAGCTGTAAAATGTCAAAATGTTATATCAAAGAAATCAAAGAGTAAGATGGTCAAAGACAGACTTAGAAAATACACACCAAAAAAGTGCCAAATACAAAAAGAAGTGCTAAATACCAAAAACAAAACCAAAAAGCCCCAGGTAAGGGGCTTTTACTAGCATACTATTAAAGTATGCTCATAAAGTGGTCATAGAGCTCTGTGAAATGTTGAGGCCTACTACCAACCTGTCCGAGTCAGAGAGGAAGTGAGATGAGGTAAAAATGAGATATGCACTAGCAATAATGAAGGACAAAGAGTATCTTTCATAAAATTCAATCAATTACTCAACTTTAGGTGAAAAGATGAGCAGCTACTTTGCAAGCAGAAGAGGAAGAATCAATGGCTGCAATGAATCTGAAAACAACTGAAGCAAAGAAACAAGGTCTGTGAGGAACTGGAGGAGGAGACGATAGTCTAACAAGAAGTCTTCCTTCAGAACTGGTGATAAGGCGGTAAAAGGCTTCAAAGATATAGGAAAAGAAAGATATTTACATGGTAAACAAACACTAAAATCCTGATGACCAGAAGCCTAAGGCAAAGTCATCTGATAATCGAAGAACGGGAGGAGAAAAGTCATCAGATTTGAGTAGAGCCGGCAAAGGAACCAAGAACAAGCAAAAGAAAAGTGAATGAGTTACATGGGTTCCACGGAGATTAGAAAACCTGGGTTTCCTATGGCACTAATTCAACCAGTGTTGTGAGTTTCTGTAACTGGTTCCTAAGAACAAAAGCGGGTAAAGTAGATGAATAAAAGATGAAGTGTTAAATATGCAGTGAGTGTGGTAACAGTAAGGTGAGGACCTGGAAGAAGTCTTTTTCCTTCACCATGACAACTCTTCTCAGTCTGAGATCACTTTCCCTGACACTTGTACTTCAGTCTTCATTTACTGCTTTATTACATGGAAAGTCTCTAAATTCTAGTCTTAGCATTGAGTAACGTAACTTGAGAAAAATGTATAGGTCAAGAAAACAACAGCCAAACAAACAGCGACAGGAGAACATAACCCACAAATCCTTGTGAAGCAATAATTATAAAAAGATACACATAAAGAAGGAGCTGTTTTTCTTTAAAACATCAGCATTCCAAACTGCCCAATCAGACTAAATCATTAGAACAAGACACTCACTAACTGTAAGGAGCATACCTGTTTTGGTTCTGTGGGCTTTTTCTCTGGTGTTCGAATCTTATTAATTTCAGGTCCAGGATTATTTGTATCACTTTTACCTAAGAAAACATTTTAAAATTCTTATAAATTTTCTCCAGTGACTATGACATTTCCAGTAACTATCCAGTATTTGACAAAGAGGCAGAACATTTTACACTCATTATTATTGACATGTATTATTACTTGGGTTTTGGTCTTAAATTTTCAGAGTTGCAGTCTCTCTACAAGAAAGAAAATTTATAAATGAAGTAAACCTCATTAATGAAGCAAAAGTTTAAAAAAGGAATAACCTTAAAAGATCAAACAATCCCTCCAAACTGTCCAATCTCTTAAGAATTCACAGCCTCATTATTTTAAACTAGACATATAAAGGAACTTGGAATTCTTACCTATTCATAAAGACTCAAATGTTTTGTTCATTTACAAATGCAATTTAGCAAAAATCCAATCAACTTCAGTAAAGGAATCTAAACTAAACTTAGATTTTAAATGGCCCGCTATCCCTATGCTAAAAGACTGGTCCCTCAGCCACAATATTATTGGGACGTTGTGGAACCTTCTAAAGGTGGGAACTCATGGAAGCAAGTTAGATCACCAGGGGAAGCCCACTAAGGGGACATTAAGACTCTGGATCGTTCCTCTCTTTTGTGTTGCTCGCCAGCCTTCAAGTGAACAGACCTCTTTTGTCACGTGCATCTGCCATAATGTACTACTGTACCACTGCCACTGGTCTACAACCCTGGGGCCAAATAAGCATGTACAGAAATCTCAAAAACCATGAGCCAAAACAAATCTTTCCTCCTTGTGAGTTCTTTATCTTAGGTATTTTGTCACAGTAATGGAAAGATGACTAATTAAATAAATACACTGTGAAAGGAATTGTTATACTGCTTAAAAGTAATAGCAAACTAAATACAGGCAGTGAAAGTAAGGTTTAAAGGGGCACAATTATGGTACAGTTTAGTGGCAGAGCACTTGCCTGGCATATGTAAGGTCTCGTTCTATCCCCATGAACCCCATGGTTCTATCTATCATGAACCAAAAATAAATAAATAAATAAATAAATAACCACAATTACAACAGACTTAAGTAATTTCATACATGTGAAAAAACTTTATAAGAATTAATGGCTGAATGCTTTTAAATTCCGTGAAAGAATTCTTATTTTTAGTGTTAGGTATAAAAACATTCATTTAGTAATAGAACTAGAACTTTGCAAAATGAATTATTGTGCTAGAACAGCCTTACCACTAGACTTTAAGAAATGGAAGCTACAATGTCAGATGAAAAAACACTGTGTGGAATAAGCAGCACATTAGACACTGCAAAAGAAAAACTTGAGGAAAAAATTGAAGAAAAAAAATGAAGAGTATCAATGAACTTTGAGAATAATTAATCATCCTAATATAGGGTTAATCAGAATCCCTAAAGAAAAGGGGAAAGTTTGAAATACATAATACACATAGTGTATCTCAGGATATAAAGATAGATATTTTCCAAGTTTCATGAGAAATGGGGAAAAAAAAAGTTCAACAAACACCAAATATGAGAAACATGAAGAAAACTCTAAAACCAGTATTTCAAAAAAATTTAAAGCAGCAACAGAGAAAAGACTAACAAATATTAAAATGAAATTGTATTTCTCACTGAAAACAAGGCAAGGGAGAAAACAAAAGGACATTATTAAAATACTGAATGACTGCCAACTGAGAATTTCATACTCAGAAAAACTCTTTAAAAAATGAGGATGAAATAAGGCCGCTTGCAGATATATATAAATGCTAAAAGGATTTATCATCAGCAGACTTGAAATATAAAGTATAGTCCAGTACAACAAGGAGGAGGAGGAAGAGGTCATTATCATCATCCTTTCAGGTAGAATAAAATTTTTATCAGATATACACATATACACAGAAAGAAAGATTCAAATGGTAATATATGAATAAATATATACGATTATTTTGAAAAATTTTAAAAGGATGGTTGGCTGTTTAACACTTAAAATATGTAACAGGATAACAATAGCATAAAAACCAAGAGAAAAAAATTGAAAGATTGTTAAGGTTCTTTAACTGTGTATGAAATAATAAAATACAATACTATAAATCCTAAAGCAACTACTGAAATACTACTAACAGCAGTATAACTCCCAAGGCAAAAATGGAGACAAAAATGGAACCTATAATCCCAGCACTCTGGAGGCTGAGGCAGGAGGATTGTTACAAATTCGAGACCATCCTGGACTACAAAGTGAGCTCAAGGCCAGCCTGAACTGCATAGTGAGACCCTGTCTCAAAGACCCAAAAAAACAAAACAAAACAAAAAAGCACAGTAAGAGGAAAAAGGGAACAAAATCTTGGCAAATTAAAAAGCAGCAGCAGGGGCTGGGGATTTAGCTCAGCAGCATAAGCGCCTGCCTTGCAAGCAGGCAGTCGTGAGTTCGATCCCCAGTACCGATAAAAAGGAAAAAGACAAAAAAAAAAAATAAATAAATAAAAAGCAGCAGCAAGATTACAGAATCAAACCTAACTATAACAATCACATTAAATGTAAATGGTGTAACCTCACCTAGTCAAAGTAGAAACTGAATTTTTAAAAACTCAAGACGCAATGCTATCTAACAGAAACAGTCTTTTCTTCTTGGGGATTCAATCTAGGACCTATACATACTAAGCATATGCTTTATCACTGAAGTACATTCCCACCCCTAAGGCACATATAGATTGAAAGCAAAAGGTCAAAAGAGATGTACCACTAGCACACACACAAAAAGCTGAAGTTGATTACACTAATTTAAACAAAGTAGATCTCAGAGCAAAAAATATTACCAGGGACAAAGAGGATCATTACATAGTGCTGCCTCCTTCCTCTTCTCTTTCTCTCTGTTTCTGTCTCTCAAAACTAACATAAAGACTTAACATATCCCAATGAAGAGCAAAGATAGCTATTTTATTTTTTGATGGAAACTAACAAGCTGATTCCAAAATGTATATAGAAATGAAAAAATACCTGGAACAGACAACTTTTAAAAAATAACACTGGAAGACTTACACTACCTGGTTTTCTAACTTTTATAAAGCCACAGTAGTCTAAATAGCATATTTGGTATAAACATTAAATATATGCGCCAACAGAAGAAAACAGAGTGCAAGTATATAGCTAATTGCTTTTCAACAAAAGTATCAAGATAATTCAATAAGGAAAGGACAGTTTTCAATAAATGATCCTGGAATGAATAACTGACCATACTCATGCAAAACCAAAACAACAACTAAAAAATCACTTGTTACACCATACACAAAATTTAATTCAAAACGGACCTACTATGAGAGTTGAAACTATTAAAACTTCCTTAAAATAAGACAATAATTCGTAACCTTGGGTTAGATAAAACTTTTTAGTGACAACACCAAAGCATAATTCATAGAATAAATGGATAAACTACATTTTATTTAAAAAAGTTCAGTTCTTTGAAAGATACTAATACACATGGAAATAAACACAATGAAAAGATAATTCAGCATCGTTAGTCATTAAGGATACTCAACATGATGCCATTAGATACTCTCTAAAAGGATAAAGTTAAAAAGACTGAGGAGAATGTGGAACAATGGGAAATCTCATAGATTACTAGTAGAAATGCAAAACAGTTCAGCAGGTTGGGGATTTAGTTCAGTAAGTGCCTGCCTGGCAAGGTGAGGCCATGAGTTCGATCACCAGCACCAAAACAAAAATTAAAAAAAAAAAAAAAAAGGAAAAAGAAAAACAGTTCAGTCCCTTTGAAAAATAATAACATAGCTTTTAAAATAAAGTTAACTATGTGTTTACAATATGCCTAGCAATCTTCTAGGTATTTATTATAGAAAAATGAAAATATATGTCCACAGCAGCTTCATTCATAAATTCCAAAAATTAGATACAGCACTGCCTACTTAATGTGAGGGGCCTTAAGTAGACAAGTAAGGCTTAAAGAAAACCAAAAACTGAAATAACTAATGTGTCCATCAGTTGATGAGTGGATGAACACACTGTGGTGCTATTCTCATAAAGGAATACTCAATCAACAGCAAAAAGGAACAAACGATAGATAAATACAACTTGATGAAATAGCAGAACTTAGTAAACAAAGCCAGATTTTAAAAACTATGTACCGTGTATGCAACATTTACCTGACATACTAAAGGAAAAACAAAAGTTAACATTAGTGGGTGCTTACAAATAAGTCAGAGGTTGGGACTGTCTACAAAGGGCCATGCAGAAACTTTCAGGGGTGATGCAAGTATTTCAAATCTTGATTTTGGTGGTACTTAACAACCATATTTGTTAAACTTATCAAACTATTTATCTTTAGGAAGTAAATTCCATTGTGCACAAATTATTCCATAAACTTGACTAAAAAGGCAGTAGATAATTTTTCTTATTTGTAATTAGATTTCTGTAAGAAATAACTACTTTATATCAACTATCCCACAATAACACTAATGCTCAGAATATCACCAAGAATATTGTGGGTTATCAAAACTGTTTAATAGAAGAGGATGTGTTTTTTTTGTTTTTGTTTTTGTTTTTGTTTTAGGAGAAGATGTTTTATCTGACCTTTAAACGATACTACTTAATGGTCTCTAAACATTAAAATTGAATACATTTTAGGAAGTTTGTGAAACCAGTAAGTGGGAAAGCTTAATCTAAAGGATCTTCTAAAATTATATGCAAAGTTTTTACCTGCATATTTTCTTGTATCACCAGGAGAGAGGATTCCTAGAATCCACATTTAACAATCACACAGCAGACAGAACTGCATGTCACGAATTTATGAATTGAAGTACAATAACCTACCATTTCGATTTTGTTCATGCTGATCCTTCTCAGGATGCTGAGTCTGTGGTTGCCCTATGCTGACAGGTGGGTGATGTCCAAGGCCATAAGGTATAGGAGACCTCCGTCCATGTGTCTGTAAGAGGTTCATATTGTAGGCCATTGCTGCCTGATGTGTAATAATTCGAGGATCAACTGCAAACCTACCCTGGTATCCTGTCCATGGTACCTAGGTTATTAAAAAAATAAAATGATGGTATTAACTATAGTCTAAAATGCAAACTTTTATACCACTGTTAATTAGAAAAATGCAAATACAAACACACAGTTGATTAATTTTATCAAAATGAGTAACTACCTGATTGAAGTTATTTAATAGCAATCATTTGTAGAATCACTGTAATGTCTTAAACTAGCCAAAGCATGGCTTCCTGAATCATCAGTGTGTAAGTGAAAAAGGGTTCACTTTTCAGATTAGGAAGAAACTGAGGACTTAAAATTGATAATTATTCCTTGAGTCATTATGCCAATTTACATTCTTTTTTTTTTTTTTTTTACTGTGGTTCAAACTCATGACCTTGTACTTCCCAAGCAGGCGCTTATGCTGCCCAGCTAAATCCCCAGCCTACCATTTTATATTCCTGAATCATTTTTTCACAAAATGAATGTACGTATGTCACAGATTATCATAAAAGTATTTTTTTAGATCATAACTGCATAGTTACATAGTTTAAGCGACTGAATAAGAGAATGCAGGAAATAAAGAAAGAATTTAAGCATCTGAAGTCAAGAAAAATGTATGTTTTAAATTTAGAAGAATAGTCAAATCATTTAATGTTCATTTATTGCAGGTAAATTTCAAACACGTCATTACTTTTGATTAATTCAACTCTAATTTAAAATACAGAAATAGAAAATTTGTTCCAACATATGTGGATATATAATCTTTGCATGTTAACATAAAAGGAATAAATACAATGATATCTGAACAACTGCTATTATTTGTCTGATGCAGACACTGAGAAATTTTATATACCAAAGCCTTTCTGACCTAATAAAGTGAAACTCAAATTCTAAGAGACTTACTATTTAAAGCAAATGATATATAATGTTGCCAGGTTGTCTGGTAAGAAATACCACAAGTAAAAGTCTAAATTCTACAGGCAGTGGCATGAATTGCATTATTTCTGATTAATAAGCACTTTCCATGGCTGCCATGTGCCATGATTGTGAATGATCAGGCCAACGTGAATAAAACATGTTTGGAGGTAAGCTATTTTTATTTTTTGGGGTATAGACAGGGCTGCCAAAGATCTCTGGCAATGATCATCTCTGCCTGACATTACACAACTTCACCTAAATAAAAGAAATTATTTCCTAGATTAAAACTTCTCATTTTAAAATATCTGAAAATTGTAAAAAACATTTTTTCAAAATACTGAAAGAAACTTAAAGGAAATAAAATGGATTTTCACAAGACACAAATCCTTTATAGTCTGAGAAAGGATTCAGTAATATATTTCAGTAACTTTAGTAAGGTTTCATAAGGCATGAAAAGATACTATTTACTTTAAAAGAAGCTTATGGCCAGTTGCGGGTGGGATTGGGGGCTGAGAGTGTAGCTCAGTGGTAAAGCACTTGCTTAGCATTCACTAAGGCCCAGGATTTGATTCCTAGAGCTGTCCCCTCCTCTGCCCCTACAAAAGATTGGTAGTCCACTATCAGGAATTGTAACTAATTCAGTGAAGCCTATTTACTTAACAGAAAGTATTTCAATACGAAGAATTTCAAACATCCACTTACAGGTAAAGGCACCGACATAACTACATTCCCTCCATAGACAGCAGGTACATAGAGAATACTTGTCCCAGTGTGAGGATCAATTCTCTGAACAGGGCTTGGAGATTTTCCCAAATTTGGGTGAGGTCCAAGAGGGGGTGGAGGAGTAAATGCTCTAATAGGATTGCCAATAAGTACAGAAGGATTGGGCTGAACTGAAAAATAGAAAGAGAATACACTCAGCTTACCTAAACAAAAATGTATCTAACAAAAAATATATTTTTCTCAGTTTGTTGCAAATATCTTAGAGTCAAAGAATTATCAATGTGGATCAGAAGAATAAAGTATTGTTTAAGAACAACCATTTTATAATGTCCTCTAATATCAACTTGAGCTGATTAAGAAAGTATTCCTTTTATAAATTACCATAATGATAGCTTCTGAGGAACCAGAGATGTGAACATCAAGGGAGGAAATCATTTGTGCACATACTTTGAGTAAACAGTTCCCTCAGACCAGGAAAGAGGATTCTTTAAAGTAAAGCTTTAACTTATAACACAGTCCCATATATAAAATGAAGATTAGGCAATTACTAAAAACATAATTCTGCAATGTTTAAAATCATTTACATAAATTTTTATCTTGAAATCTGTATGACCCAATATTTGTAGAACAGAAATATTTTCTGAATATTTACATTGCATAAAAAGGCTTAAATGTTTTTCCTCAAAATTTCTGCATGCATCATATGTTGGTACCTAAAAACAGTCCCTTTTTCAGAAATGACCTACCAACATACTAATATAAAAAAGAACTAACTGACGTTCCAAAATCTGTGTTTATGTATGCATACAAGAGAAAGGAAGACAGAGAAAGAGGTTGAGAAAGAGAGACAGCTCTGTATCTCATGATGCAATTTGGGGTAACAAAGGGAAGTTTCCATAGGCCTTACTTGTCCACTTACCAATTCCATCATTCTGGAAATGATCATTTTGGGTATGATGGAGGCTTTTCCCCTTAAAGAAAAAACACAAAAGTATAATAATTTAAGTATGTGCAACATTAGAAAACAAAAACCCTTTTCTTATCTGCATGTAAACATATAAACACCACCTAAGATTCTAAAAACTTGAATTGATAATCTATAACCATTAGGTTTCTTTGAGCCAGCTTTCTTTTAAAGATGAGAACATAGCCATCTCAAATAACACTGCTGGGCCTCTAGTATTCCTCAGTTTTAAATTAATGGTATCTGAAATTGCTTTTTTTTTTTTTGTCTTTTTCCTTTTTATCGGTACCAGGGATTGAACCCACGACTGCCTACTTACAAGGCAGGCACTTATGCCGCTGAGCTATCTCCAGCCCCTGAAATTGCTTTTTCAATGGACTGTTTTAATAAAAAGAAATATGTAATCAACATGACCAAAACCTAATTTTGATTCCTTTGAGCTCTATAAATTTCCTAAGAATTAAGTGACAAAACATAAAAGTTGTTTATCAAGGGAAAAGTTTCAGTCTTTCATTCTTGAAAATGAAAACCTTAACAGCAAGAGGAATATAAACGTGGTTTGCGATTACTATTATTTTGAGTATGATTCATAGTATCTTAGTCAGGCACAGTGCTCTATGCCTATAATTCCAAAACTTGGGAGGCTGAGCTAGGAAGATTGCCCTGAGTTCAAGGCCAGCCTGAACTACACAGCAAGTTTCTGAGAGAGAGACAGACAGACAAAGACAGAGGGACAGACAGAGACAGACAGAGAAGAGAGACAGAGACAGAAACAGCGTGAGTGAAAGAGTACAAGAGCATAGCATCTTGAAGTGTAAGATTTTCTAAAGGAACAGGAAACAGGTATTGTTATAAAGTACTTGAGAGAGAATCTAGCTAATCGTTAGATAGCAATTTGGCATATGTATCAGAAGTATCAAAAATGTAATTATTATAATACTATAATTTTATTTCCAGGAATTTATCCAAGTGAAAGAATCATGGATTTGGGTACAGATGTTTTTCATGCCATGGTTTACATGTGGGATAAATGTTAACAATCTGAATGTCCATTCGGGCATGGTGACATACTGCCTGTAATCTGAGCACTTGGGAGGCTGAGGCTGCAAGTTGGAGACCAGTGTGGGCTACAAAGTGAGACCAAGGCCAGCCTGAACTGCATAATGAGATCCTGTCTCAAGAAGACTTTAAAAATAAATAAATGTCCATCAATGGAGGACTTATTAAATAATTAATAGCAGATTCATACAATGATATATTAATCTACCATTAAAAATAATGACATTTGGGTGGAAACAATATTTGGCAATGCCTCTGAAATTATGGATTAAAAAACCCAACCAGTGGCTGGGGATTTAGCTCAGCGGCATAAGCGCCTACCTTGCAAGCAGGCAGTTGTGATTTCGATCCCCGGTACTGATAAAAAAGCGGCATAAGTGCCTGCCTTGCAAGAGCGCAGTCATGAGTTCGATCCCTGGTACCGATGAAAAAAACAAAACAAACAAACAAAAAATAGCCAACCAACTAACTTACTCTTGCCACTGGCTACATGTAACTAACACACATCAAGCCAATTGTGGAAAAGTGGAACATTGCCCAACTTGCCTCTAGATATAAAACAAGGTTTATTTGTATAGAATATATGAAAACTAAAGAACAGATAATAGTTACAGTAAGGAGAAAATTCATTTTTGATCCAAACAAAACTATAGTAATGCTCCATTTATTAGCATCTATCAGGGATGTTAAATATTCAGAACAGTGGTAAATATTAAAGGTTTTACGGTCAACTGATTAGTTATGGATGGAACATCTGTAACTCTTAAAATGTGACAAAAGAGAGCCAACAAATAAACAGTTTGTCCATTAATCAGAAAAAAAAAAGGAATGTTTACGGTGATTAACACCAACTATAAAAAACAAACTTCTGAGAAATACAGAAAGATAAAGAGAAAAAGTAAAAAGGAGCAAATGACAAATACTGAGATGGCAGAAGAGGTGAGATCAGAGACATAAGCAATTAGTAGAAGTGACAAGAGCAATGAGCAGCACACACACTGACAGAAGAAAGGGAAGTGAGTGACACAGACTGGTAAGGTAGTTCCAGGAAGGTGGTAAACCATGTAGATTTCTTAGCCACCCAAATCACCGTAGCTTGCTAATGACCAATCAGCCAGGGACAATCGTATAGATAAAGAGTAGGAACTTGATCACGTGTGGTAGGCAGAATGGTGACCCCAAAGATGTCCACACTTTCACCCCTGCTTCTGTCAGTATGTTACATTACACAACAAAAGGAATTTTGCAGATATAGTTGAAGCTGTGATCTTAAAGTAGATAGATTACGCTAGATTATCTGAGTGGACTCAACCTAATCACTTGCACCTTAAAAGCAGAAAAATTTCTCTGGCTGGAGTCAGAGACACAGCAGAGGAGGAGATGAGGGATGTGGTAAAGGGAGGTCAGAGATTTTGAACAAAGTGATTCAATACACACAGCTAGTTCTGAGACAGTGGAGACACCTTTGAGAACTGCTGAGAGGCTTCTACAAACTAAGCAAGACTTCCAGAAACAAGGATGTTAGTTAAATCACAAGGAACTAAATTTTGGCAACAACCACCATTGACATGGAAGTAGAATTTTTCTAGAGGCTCCAGGTAAAAGATTAGTCAGTGCTTTGATCACAATCTTGAGCAGAGAAACCAAGCCAAATTTGACATTGGACTTCTGGAACTGTGAGATAAATTTGTACTAAGTTGCTATATTTGTGATAATTTGTTATAGGAACAGTGAGAAACTAGTATAAAGAGTTAACCATAGTATAGGGCAGTAGTGGCAAACCTATGGCACATGTGCTGCAGCAGGCTGTTTGTATGGTTGAAAGCTCCAAAAGGTTTGCCATCACTCCTAGACCAGATTTTTAAACCTTTAGTGCCCTAGACTATCAAGGCAGAGGGACAATATGTATCTGCATTCTGGGCACTACCTGGTATACCAAATATAAAGGCAAACATAAAAAGATAGTGGTGTGTCTACAAGTATATTTCAGTACTACACAGTTCAATATACAATGCAATTACCTACCATAACTGTAGGGAAGAAATTTACTTGGTCTTCATGAAATACAGTGTTTGGCAGCTTATATAAATAAAATAATAATACAGCAGTAAGCCACAGTAGCAGTAGTTAAAGTCATTCCATAATAATTTCAACTAATTTCATTCTGATAACAAATCTTATAAAATATGTTTCAAAGCAAATGTAGCTCAAATCAACTACTGTTTATAAACAAATGTAGTTAATATTACCATTTGTTTTTTAATTGCTAGAGACTGAACATAGGGCTTTCACAGTATGGTATATCCCTGGACTTTTTAATTTTATTTTTATTTAGTTTGATTCTGAGTCTAAATCACTAAGTTGCCCAGGCTGAGCTCAAATTTGCTATCCTCCTGCCTCAGCCTCCCAGAATTCTGTGATTATAGGCATGCATTACTAAACCTAGCTATTATCTACCATTTATGCACTTAAATATTTACTTTTTCAGCACTCATTCTTTTCCATTTATTCATTCAACAAATGTTTACTGAGGGCCCACCACATGTCCAACTTGACTGGGCACCAACACTCAAATAAACAAGACTGACATATTTTCTTATGACTAGGCAGTGAGCCAAACATTAGCAGCTAGATATAGGTAAAAAAAATAATTAAAGTCTATAAAATGATACAGTCTTTAGAGGATCTATTTCTGATTATTTCCTATCTGCTGGAATGTGTACAGTATGTGCAAAACAAGCTAATTCATTGTAGTAAGGCTTCTGGAAACTGTTCCCAGCCTGTGCCCTAAAAGGAAGCCAGGTAAAGATGGATGCAATATGAATTCTTAAGGGTCCCACGAAACAAGTCCTTAGCTATAACTGATACTTGGAGAAGGTAAAGCAATGAAGAGCTAGCGAAGACCACCTTAATATTTTTCACTTAGCCTAACTTATTTCAGAATTGAAGTCTTAGGACAATAAAGTTCTTTGACTACTTGGACAGCCAGGGGTATATTCTGTTGTCAAACTGAACCCAGAGAAAGCAAGTCATAGAGCATTTTAACCATCATACAATCTTTTGCTGATTTCACTTATATGAACTCTTATAGCAATTGTAAATTCTATTCCATTAAACAGACTGATTCTAATATTTCTTATAGGCAGTGTTAAAATTAAGGAAATTTGAAAAAGAAATGGAATGGTTCACTATTACATTTTCAGAAACATCACCCTTTTCTACTCATGAAATAAATCCCTTTTTGTCAAAAGGCTCTAATACATAAAATAACTGTTTCAAAGTTATCTGGCATGTATACTTCATGAGGGTAGAATGGGAGCAGTAGGACATATATGAAAAAGATTAAGCTGATAATGAAGATGTATAACAGAGGATTCATTCATTACACTATTCTATTTTAAAATATTTCCATAAAGTAAGGCTAGATTTTAAAAGATTCCAGAATAAATTCAAACCTCAAAAAACAATTTTATGGAAGTAAAATACTGGAGAAAGGAGGGAGATATGGTGACAAAGATAACCTATGGTTCACTATACTTCAGTTAGGTAAAATAACTGGTTATTTATGTTATGTGTATAAATAATTTTAAACAAAGCATACAACTAGTCTGGTGAACTGATGATTGGAAAACAGGAGAACATCTATAGGGAAGATAATTCTTTTAAAAGTTCAGGATAAATTTAGGAGAGGGCTGTGTTGGCTTTTATACAACTTTCACCTTGAAGGAAAGAAGCACATCACAGTCTACAGGGTGTGCTGTAACCTATATTCACTTATCAGCTGCTTACTGAGCACTTGCTATGCACAATGAGTGGTGCTAGGCAGTGGGAACCATAAAAAACATACAGGCTAAGATCTTTGTCTTCAGAAGTTTCTGATTTTGGAAAAACAAGTCAAGCCATTATGTATTCCCCAGTTAAACACCAGGCACAATGGCCCGAATCTATCTCTACAATGCACTCGTGGATATTTACATTTACATGACTCAGGTAAGTAAGAAGACTTTATTGTAGTTACACTCCTGAAGAATGTGCAAAAACATCTGATTATAACACAGATTGTATTTTAAATTTTAAACACTCAATTTAAAAAAGCTTCTGCTTGTGTTCTATTCTCACATGCCCTAAGCCACTTGCTGCCCTCTGTAGACATGTCTCCTGTTCTTTCACATCTGTTATCTTTTATAAAAGCTGGCTGCAGTTTGGATCTGGGATTCAATGGGCTGCATGTTAAAGGCTTAATTCCCAGTTTGACATCCCTGGGAGATGACAGACTCTTAGTTACTTTTTTCATTGCTGAGACAAAATACTCAACACCCACAGTTAAAGAAGGGAAGGTTTCTTCAGCTCACAGTCTGGAGAGATTTCAGTTTGTAATTTCACTCTCCAAGGCAGGGTGGCATGGCAGAGAGGCTCTGGAGAGAAGAAACCATTCACGGCAGGGAGAAGGCAGCAAAGTAGTGAAGAAGCAAAGCAGGAGGGAGCAAGCAACCCACAGGGACCCCTGTGTCTCTTATATCCTCCTCAGGCTACCCGTGCCTACGGCGTAGCACTTACACCCAGAGCGGGGCAGGCTTCGTCTTAGCATTGCGCCACACCCAGCCCAGATCCAGCCACCTCCAAAAACCCCACCTATGAGCACGTGAGGCTTCTGGGGGACACTTAGGTTCAGCCAGAAGACAGACCCTTTCAGAGTGGGGTCCAAGGCTAGGGTGTAGCCTACTTGTAAAGTACTTATCTAGTCTGTAACATAGTATGATTCCCAAAAGATAATAATGCCAATCATAATAAAAAGGCCTAGTGAGACATCTTCTGGTCACTGAGAATATGTCCTTTGGAGGAGACCTGGGACCCAGCCTCTCCCTCTTTATTTATTCTCCTTCACTCACCAGCCAGAAGGTAAGTAGTTTTGATTTGCCAAAAATATTCCCAACATGATGCACAGCTATAGGCCCAGGGCAACCAGGTCAGCTGATCACAGCCTAACACCTCTAACACTGTGAGCCAAGATAAACTTTCTTTTTCTATAAGCATTTCAAACATTTGTTATAGTAATAGAAAGCTAGCACAAAACCCTTTCTTAAAGTCATGCTTAAAAACTATGACAAACTCTAGGGACAGGGGCTATAGCAGAAAATAATACAGGCAGAAATCTCTGTCATAATCAAGCATGTATTTTTGTAGCTTTTATATACAAAGTCCACCAAAAAAAAATGTAAGCACACTTCATCTGTTTGCCATACTAATAATGTCTGGAAGCTAACAGGCATCACTTTGAGTATCTCTTATAATTACAGAGGGCAAAAATAACTTGTATTAATCTCATGATGGCTCAATAAATTTAGTATTAAAATATTTACGTAAGTTTTTCTCTTCCTGATGTACACATTTTTTGGTGGCCTATGTATAGATTTCCCTCACAATGTCTTACTGTCTCTAACCACTCAATCAACTCCTAACCATGACTTCCGTGGTGAAAATAAAGTGAATCTACTACTTCTGGCCACCATTTGTCAGTCTCCAACAACTGCCACAAAGGGACTCAGGGGCTAATTTGCTTACCTATGCCTCTTAAGCACCTGTCATAACACCCGGCACACAGAAAAAGTTCATTTATGCAGAATTTTAATCTTCTAATAATGCCAAATCACTAAAGCATTATTGTATATTCAGTACAGTCTCATTAACCTAAGAATGTACAACACTATATTAGCTCAGGAAGTAGGTCTCAATAGTTAGCTAAAAGACTTTCAAAATATTAAACCATTCATTATTGTTTACATATTAGGTATAATAAAGTTCAACAATGACATAGTCTTTTTAATTCATGTTAGTAAGTTTAATCCCATGCTGAGGACTATGAATGCACACACAAAAAAACAAGCTAATATTAAACATGCCATTCTCAGCACCTTCATTTCAAGATGCTAAGTTCAAGAAATTTTTTTCGGAACTCTAGCAAATAAGCTGGCTGCCTGCCCAAAATAGCTATTGCTCAAAAGTAGAAATAGTCTTGACCTGCCCACCTCCATACTGGACTCCTCGGTACAATAAAAATGAGTCAAAAATCAATCCATCTTTAAGAAAGTGGTCAAATTTCCTTAGGGTGCCAAATAACATTCAAAATTAATTAGTCACAGTAAGAGAATTTTCTTTATACAAGTATTATGACTTATAAGTATCATGCTATAAAGATAAGCTTTTGAAATGTATGACAATGTTTTAAACTTTGCATTTCCTCACATCTTAGCTAAAATAATCTTATCAGTAGAGAAGACTGCAAAGTTGTATTGTACAAAAGATACCAGAAGTTTTTATGTGCTTAAAACTTTTTAAGGATGATTATGACATTAAACATGGTTAAATATCACATGATATTTTCACTTATATGTCCAAATACAGATACGTTCCTTGCAGAAAATGCTAGTCAACAAATATAACCTTCAGTTCCAATACTTCAAGTCTATCTCTGCTCCACTGCTCTCCCGCTTTACCTTCTTCACAGTGTAAGCTTTACCTTAGGTGGTGATTGCTGCTGTTTGTTGCTGTTTCCGGAATGCTGCAGTCTCAGAGCCCGGGGGATAAATTCAGGAGCCAGTGGATTCAACACATATGTCTTCTTTAGTTCTAAAGCCTCTAACTGAGCCTTGATCTGTTCAAATGTGATCCCATGCAGACTATTATTTTCATGACACAGGGTGATAAATCGCTCCCAAAACTTCCTATAGAAAACATTTACAAGATTAAGATTGGGTTACAATTTCGGTGAATGAGATCACAAATCAAGATAGGTAACCTAAGGTAATTTCAAAAATCAATGCCCCACCAGGCCTCAAATTATAAAATCCAACAATTATCTATGACTCAGATATAATCTTTTGATCAACTCATAAGATTTTGCAAGATCGATAGTCAAAGTATAGTCATACCAAGTAGTATAATACATACAAAATCAGCTCACAAGTAATTTTGACTCCTCCATGCGAGTACCATACTCAGTGCCTGATTTCCAAAACTAATGAAGAATGTTTTTTAATTATCCACAAAAATTTCAAAACTCATGGTAACTCACTTTATAGAAAAATCTATTTCTAGGCACATTTATACATATACACATGTCTACACATGTTCATGTACTATGTAATCATGCTTCAGTCAATAATAGGTTAAATATGGAACTTTAGGGTTCCATAAAGTGGTATCACTTAGTGGCATCATAACTGTCTTAGTTTGTGTACACAGACTCTGTCCTGTTTAACAATGACAAAATCATCTAGCAATATACTTCTGTTTCATTAAGCAATGCATGACTATATACACATAATATAAATATAATCGATATATAATATAAATTGTGAATGACATAGGGTCAAAGTAGCTTGGTGTTGAATAAGAAAAGCCAGCTCAGAATAGAAATCTGAAAAAAGTAGGTAATCTTCATGAAAATTCTTTAAAACTTGCCAATTATTCCTATTTTTTCTTGCACAACAGATGCTTGTCACAAGCACAATTTACATAACTCTGATTTTTTTTTTTTTTTTTTTTTTGATCCCTATGTTGTTCTGGATGGCCTTGAGCTCACTTATAGCCCAGGCTGGTCTCAAATGTGCAACAACCCTCCTGCCTCAGCCTCCCGAGTGCTAGGATTATAGGCATGCACCACAACACCCAGCTCCATACTAAATTATAAGACTTAAATAAATTATAGAAAATGCATGAAAAGTTGGAATACTAATTTTAATGTTGATTATTCATTACCTAATCAAAGCAATAAATGCCAAAGAAAAAAATACATTCAAGATTTGTTGCAGCTATATACTGCCATTCTTTAAAATCTGAAAGTTGAATTTTTTCTTTATAAAATAAAAAACAAATAAAACCTGAAAATTGATCTCCAAGTAAAAATATTAAATATATTATGAAAGACAATACTTGAAAAGTTTTTAAGTTTTAGAAGATTGGTATAAATATACATATTTATGTTTAATATGAGATTGAATAATATTTTACTATGCTATAAAAGATATGTGATATAGTTTCTTCTATTCAGATGGAGATTAGGTAACCAAGATGGCTTCAAGAAACATAAATGAAAAGGTATGTATTACAAAACTGAGCATATGAATGAGAATTGGGTTATTCATATACTCATAGAACTTTGCTGAGCTTTAATTATGAACTATGTCTTTCTTAATATGCCTTCTAATTTTTAAAATGCATTTAAGAAACAGCACCAGAAAAAAAAATTTAGGTCTATATGTAAACAAAAGGATAAGTAAACATATTATAAAATGTTAAATATATGTTTCTAACCATAAGGCATAAAGCCTAACAAGATAGCTACACTAAGAAATGCACACTGAAAAGCTGTACTTTATTCTTAAGATCCCTTTGGCTCCTCAGTACTATCAATAAAACCCTCTGAAAAAAATCTAGTCTTTCTTTCCTCATAGTAACTTGAAAAAAAATACAAGGAAGAATTATATCTATAACACAGCAGTCAAATATCAAAGTCCATAACTCTCCTATCTTTTGACTAGAATAGTCACAGCATTCGCCTATATAAATACTTATTATCACAGTTTTGAATACTCTACACAGAAGTTTTTTAGTCCAACTGACAAAGTATTAGTTTCATAAGGTGGCAATTTAGGTAGTGTTGGATTCCGAGACAAAGCATGACAAGGAAAGAATGGGTTGGCTTTTACTCTTAGTTTATATCAATTCCTTATTACATATTTTTATTTCTAATTCAGGTAGCCAAATGCTAAAACTGGTTAATTTATAAGCCATCTTCTTAAAATCTATACTCTGTTCCTATACTGCTCTCACAGATCTCTCACAAACATAAATTAACCATGATAAACAGTTTCAAAAGTAGCTTGAAAGTTATATTTTAAATCTGACTTTTCTGGCCAGGTATGGTGGCGCATATCTGTAATCCAAGCACTGGAGAGGCTAAAGCAAGAGGATCACAATGAGTTCAAGGCCAGCCTAGGCTACATAAGTGAGTTCAAAGTCAGCATGAACTACAAGAGTAAAACTCTCTCTCGAACAAAGAAAAATTAAAAAGAAAATAATTCTGACTTTCTTCTCATTGTCACAGTGAACAAGAGATATTGTCCCTAATTGTGTCACACAGTAACTGTTGACTTGGGCAAATTACTTAACTTCTCTTTATAGCTCATTTACCTCATGTATGATAGGATACCAGCAATATTTCCATTATTATTGAAAAGATTGTTTCTCACTTCTAAATACATATTCAAAGAAATATAGCTTATCCTTCAAAAAGCCAAAATTTAGTTTTAAAGCCAAAATTTTTCTTGTTTTTCTCTTGGAGAAAGCTCTTTCAAATACTATTCCCACTGTCACTGAATTTCCAAAACTTTACTGAGGCATTTCTGAACACATATAATTGTAAGATCACTTAGAATTTCAACTACACTCATAATGAGGGTAAGAATTCACTGCTCTGGTTATTTTAAGTATTCACCAATTCTCAATATTCTCCCTAAAATGCTAACATATTATTATGTTAATCATTGTTTTCTAGTAATGTTGGTTAGGGAACCCAAGTATTACAATTATATTATAATTTTAGGTATTTCAAAGGTCACAACCTTTTTTTTTTTTTTTTTTTACAATTGACTACAGAGATGTTGGTCACAACCTTTTTAACCACTGAACAAAATCATACACACAAAGTCAGGTTTTGTTTATTTTTTGTCTTTTTGAGACAGGGATTCACTATGCAATTCAGGCTGGCCTTAAATTCACTTTGTAGCCCAGGCTGGCCTCAAACTCAAAATCTCCCTGCCCCACCCTCTAGAGTGCTGCGATTATAGGCCTGTGCGAACACACCGAACTTAGTTTCATTTTTATATAAACCTTGCTTCTAAGGTAACTCATAAAACACTAAAGAGCCACTTGACTAAAAATATATCCTTATGTCCCATGTGTATAGGTATATGTGTGTATACAAGCACGCATATCTCTACACAAAAATGAAATATATTTGTATTTCTCTGTGCTAGTGAAATGTGTTGATGACTTTAGTGGAAGCCAAAGGCAATGGTGGATATGCTGTCTAGGTGTCACCACCTTCTTCTGCCTCCCCCTTCAGTGCAGATCTGCAGTATACATTCATCATTTCTGGGAAATCCGGCACAACCCTGAGAAATGAGCGACGAGTTTTGAAGTTAACCTGACATCTGAGTGAACAACATTAATAGTTATGTGACCCTGAGCATTATTTAAAATCTTTAAATCACGCTCCCATCTAAGACAAAAGTAAAATGGCCTCTTGCAGGGATGCTAGGATGAGTAACGGAGGCACTGTGTGCAAAAATACAGCCAGCACTTGGTTGACAGAAAGCTGTCAATAAACAGCACTCCATGCACTAACACGTTAGCATGCCAAGTGAAGGAGGCATTTATTTTAGACTAATAGAAAAACTTTAAAAATAGAGATAACTGACTTCCAAATTGGTGTAATATATACAGTACTCATTCCTTGAAAATCTGACTGGTATCTGGGAATATTATGTTAGTTTTTTGTAAGTAAATACTGAATGAAAATGGGAGGGGAAAAGTCCCAATGAATTTGGACTATGAAGAATTCATTCCTGCATTACCACAGGATTGTATAACATAGCCTCTAGGTTTGCTTGTACGGTTTTATTTCTGTTTTTTGTCTTTTTTCTGAGAAACTCTTACTATGCTGTTTTGGCTGGCCTTAAACTCATTTTGTAGCCCAGGCGGGCATTGAACTCACAGCCATTTTTCTGGTCTCAGCCCCGAGTGCTGGGATTACAGTCATACGGCACCGTGCTCAATTTACTTGTACTATTAGATTAAGTTAATTTCTAGCAAAATTATCAAGGTTAAAGTTTAAGTGTATGCATGCTTCCGCTATCAACTCTGGGGCTAGAGCCACGATTAAACTATCCAAATAAAACTGTTAAACTGCATTCTCATTTAGCAATGGAATTTATAATACCCCCTGAACAGTATATTATTCTGCTGAAAATATTTTTCTTAGCATAATTTGCAGTTCATCGCACACTACAAGTGAGCAACCAATACACTCAGTTTGAAGTTAAAAATCAGCCCTGGACAATTCTAACAGTGCAGCCTTAAAAATACTATTCACTCTAGGGATTTCGCTCAGCAGAATGAGTCCCGCCTGGCAAGTGCTAGGTCGTGAGTTTGATCCCCAGCACCCAAAAAGAAAATACTACTCATCCATTTGCTCTGAGAAAGTAACAATTTACATCAAAGAGGGGTGAAAAAATGCTGATCTCATGCCAATCACAGTATGGTCTGATTCTAGAAAGGGTAACAGAATCTTCAAACATATTTAAGTTGAATTTACCAACTTGGGAATTACTTATAAGGGGAGTCCAAAAGTAATGTGGCTCTACCTCACTCAAAGGCCTATCACTGCCCCAACAGTGCCTATATAGTGTTAATACACATCATCCTTTTGTATAGAAGTGTTTTCATATAATAAATTCTAAACAAACTATATGTGCTTTCTCATACCTCAAGTAATAAATATAAAAACAAAAGGAAAATGCCATAGCAACATTCTAACTAAATATTCATTCAATATAAAGCAACTGAAGTTAGACTGTTGGGTTGAGAGTTGACTTGGTGAAATCCTTAAGGTATTTAGTTCTAGTTATTTGTATCTTGGAATCAAAATATTCTTTTTCCCAATACTGCTCATTAATGGTTACAAAACAAGGTCAATTTACTTTTCAAACCTTAAAGACAAGCCACATTACAGACAAACTACTTAGAGTCATGAGACTTCTGAAAAGAGGGCAGAGTAGTAAGCAGCAGAGAAAAGAGGTTCTCTGAGAGTCACAATCCAGGTGCTGGAATATAGCATTGTGGGTCAACATAAGTAAATGCACAAAGGTAATACACCATATTAACAGAGCTAAGGACAAAAAAATCACACGATCATCTCAACAGATGCAGAAAAAACTTCTGACCAAGTCCAGCACTCATTCATGAAAAAAATCCTACAATATATTGGAATAGATGGTCTTTATCTCAAGCTCATAAAAGCCAACTGAGCAGGCGGTCGTGAGTTCGATCCCCGGTACCAGTAAAATGAAAAAAAAAAAAAAAAGCCAACATCAAACTAAATGGACAAAAACTCAAAAAGCTTTCTCTCTAAAATCAGGAACAAGACAAGGATGTCCACTGTCCCCACTCTTATTCAGCATAGTACTGGAAACCTTACCTGGAGCAATCAGACAAGAGACAGAAATAAAAGGAATAAGGATAGGAAACAAAGAAGCTAAACTATCGTTATTTGTAGATGACATGATACTCCACTTAGATGACCCCAAAACCTCCACCAAGAGACTATTAGAGTTAATAAGCAGATTCAGTAACATAGCTGGTCACAAGTCAACACTCCGAAAATCAATAGCCTTCTTGTACATGAATAACAAAATCACTGAGAGAGAAAGCAGGGAAACAATGCCTTTTACAATTCCATCCAAAAAAAGAAATACCTAGGAATCAATCTAACAACGGATGTGAAAGATCTGTACCTTGAAAACTATAATACTCTGAAAAAGGAGACTAAAGAGGATACTAGAAAATAGAGAGGTACCCCTTGCTCTTGAGTAGGAAAAACCAACGTAGTGAAAGTGACCATACTTCCAAAACTGTTATACAGATTTAATGCAATCCCAATCAAAATTTCAATAGCATATCTCACAGAATTAGAAAAACAATCCTAAAATTCATCTGGAACCTCAAGAGACCTGGAATAGCAAAGGCAATCCTAGGCAACAGAAACAGGACATGGGAGCATCACAAGCCCTGACTTGAAATTACACTATAAAGCTACTGTGATTAAAAAAAAAAAAATAGTGTGATACTGGCCGAAAAATAGCCCCGAAGACCAATGGAACAGATTAGAAGATGCAGATGCAACTGCAGACACACTAAGCCACCTTATCTTTGACAAAGGTGCCAAACGCATTCACTAGAGGAGGATAACCTCTTGAATAAATGGTGCTGGAAAACCGGCTGCACACATCCTGAAGATTAAAACGGGACCCATATCCTTCAACATGCACTAAGCTAAAATCAGAATGGATCAAAGATCTTAACATTAAAACAGAAACACTAAATCTGCGGGAAGATAGAGTAGGTAAAACTCTTGAAGACACTGGTGTAAGCAAAGACTTTATGAACAAAACCCGGATTGCGCAGGAACTAACAAAAAATCAACAACTGGTATCTCACCCTACTGAAAAGCTTTTGCACAGCAAGACAAATCACCAACAGAGTGAATAGACAACACACAACCTGGGAGAAAATGTCCGCCAGCTGTACCTCAGACAAAGGATTACTATCGAGAATATATACAGAACTCGAAAAAAATTAATCTTCTCAGATTTAAAGACCCAATCTAGAGGCTGGGGATTTAGCTCAGCGGCATAAGTACCTGCCTTGCAAGCAGGGGGTCGTGACTTCGATCCTCGGTACCGATAAAAATGAAAAAGACATAATAAAAAAAAAAAAAGACCCAATCTAAAAATAGGCACCTGAGATGAATACATACTTCTCAGATGAAGAAATACGAACAGCAAATAAATACGTGAAAAAATGTTCAACATCACTGGTTATTCAAGAGATGCAAATTGAAACACATTGAGAGTGCAGCTCACTCTGGAAAGAATGGCTAGCGTCAAGAACCAATTACAAATGCTGGAGGGACTGTGGGGAAAAAGGAACCCTTCTTCACTGCTGGTGAGAATGCAGACTGGTGCAACCACTGTGGAAATCAGTGTGGCGATTCTTTAAAAAGCTAGGACTAGAGGTCCGATTCAACTCAGCTATTCCTCTTCTGGGTATCTTCCCAAAAGAACTGAGAACATCATACCACACCAATATATTATGCACCCATGTTTATAGCAGCACAATTTGTAACAGCCAGATCTTGGAAACAACTGAAATGCTTATCAACTGAGGAATGGATAAAAAAGACATAGTATTTTTATACAATGAAGTACTATTCAGCCCTACGGAAGAATAAATGGGATACTCCTATAGGTAAATGGATGCAACTTGAAATAATACTCATTAGTGAAATAAATAAGATACACATTTGTAAACATTGTATTGTCTCAGTGTGAGAAACTAAAATAAACAACATATGTGTGTATATCAATATATGTGTATAAAAAAAGTTTAGTTAAAAAAAAATAAAGTCATGACTCCTAAGAACTTAGGTTTTAAAAAAAGTTTACATTCCCAAATGTAAACATAAATTAAAGCTTTCCTTGATTTTTTTGTTAATGCTTCCTCTTATGGAAGACATTAACTTCTTTTGGAGTCTAATATATGCAGCTTATTCTTTTTTTTTTTATTTAAAGAGAAAAGAAAGGAAATAAAAAAACAAAGCAATAAAAGGGTATAAGTAATACAGAATTTCAAGAAAAAAATATACAGTAAGAAATCACTAGTTAAACAGTTATCCAAATTAGAAAATTAAAGCATATAAAGTAGACATTCATACAGTGAGATTGCAGACAGTTCCGGTCAATTATCCAACTTAAAGTTCAGTAATATGGTTTCCCATCCTACACCCTCAAACATACATGCAGTTATATCCCTTAGACCACCTTCCTTTCCTCTCTTTTTCACAGTAACAATTACACTTTTTGGGTTTTTTTTACTCCCACAGTTCTTACTACTTTTTTTGAAGAGAATAAAACCAAACGTGACTAAACAAAACAGAGTTGGTTAAAACAGAAGGATGGGCATAGTACATGATGCAAAAATAGAATACCAGGTGATCAAAAATGGTTACCATTGTTCCTCTTGCTATTTTTAAAAACAGTTTATGCAGCTTATTCTTAATGGTTTGAACCACTCTTTTCCCATAGCATTTTTTTCTTCGCTAGAACACAAAGACAGACAATAAAATGCTGGCATATCTGTACTGCAACAGAAATTATTATTTTTAGACAGCCATGGGCTAGCAGTTTTGTCTATACTTTAATTCTAACACATCAAAAGAACCAGTTACTCAAGGCACATTTGGGAGTGTAAATCTTCTACTAGTGTGAATTTACTGTGACAGGTACTACCACACTTATAAAATATTAAGTAATCCCAAGGTATGCCTTTTTCATAAATGAATATTACACATTTCTACTCAACTTTTAAATAATGTTAACATGGTTTTTCAATATTTAAAAATTCAAATCTTCATTACTGGCCTCGTAACTGTTAAAATTCCTGCTAAAGAATATAAGTCATGTGTACAGAGACACTTTTTAGTTGACACTAATCATATTTTGTTATATAGTCTAACTAAAGACTAATGGCTACTAACAATGCTATCCAAAGACAAGCAATGATAACTTCTAACTCCTTGTTTTTAAGATCCTCTGAATTAACTAAATAAAAAAATTGTTCACATTAAGGGGCCTTTTGAAAAATGACCACAGAAAAAATTCACCAAAAATTGCAACTGAAGTATAGTGAAGGGAGGCTAAGGAGGCAGCACACATGCCAAATTTAGTATCCACCAACGATCCCCATACATATACAGACACATACACACAGGCACACACACAACCACCTCAGGATTCTTGTACTTGCTGTTATCTCTTTCCAGAGCACTTTTATCCCAGGTACGTCTACAATTCACAGACTAACTTCCAAAGTCAGCTTCTCAGTGTTCTTTGAACATAACACTTACAGTCACAAACCACCCAGTCTACACATCACTTGTAACTGTCCTAAGTCAGTGATGATGAATCTATGAAGGTTCTAAAAGTTTCACCATCACTGCCTAAGTACGATTCTATTTCTTTTCCATTAAACTTACCAAGTAAAATACTACACAATATTCTTAGTTTGTTGTCAGTCTCTCTCTGCTACCCAATCGAATGTAAATGCCAAAAAGTTAGAGATATCTGTGTATTTTTTTCACTGCTGTATCTTCGGTGGCTAGAAAAGTCCTTAGGACATAGAATGTACTCGTACTGATATCTGTTGAATGATGAATGAATACACAATTATCTGTATCATTAATAGATCCAAAGTAATAGGCTTTTGTGTTACTGGATTTCAGATAACAATGATGCTGATTTAAATAGCCAAAAGGTCATACAAATAAATTACATACAGAAATACAAATTACTTCACATTTCTCCTTTAATGTTTCAGTCAGAGACTATAATTACCTGCATCTTCCAATGGAGCACAGGGCAATGGGATCTCCCACTACGGCGACCAGGGACTGTGCTCTTGTGATGGCAGTATTAAGAAGCTTGTAGTTAGATAAAAAACCATAATCTAAGTCTTCCGTAGAATCTTCCAGAAGTTGCTCTTTCTTTTTAATTGGTGTCTGTTTATGTTTACAGGTATGTCTTGTACGTACTGTGCTAAGAAACAAGACTCTGAATTGTTTTCCTATTAAAAAAAATTTGAAAACGAGACTTGAAATAGTCAATCTGAACTACTAATATATGTGTAGCATTTTTACAAAATACAATTGTTAAAGAATAGATAATGGCAAGGATAGAGAGAAATGGAAACCTCTGTACACTGATGGTGCAAGTGCAAAATGGTGGAGTTGCCCTGGGAAACACTGAGTTGCAGGCAATTTCTAAAAAATACATAAATAATAATAATAACAACAGAAACACAGAAGACTGGGGATGTGGCTCAGTGTTAAGTTTTGTCTTGCATGCACAAGGCCTTGGGTTTGAGCTCCAGCCCTCAAAAACAAAAACAAAAACAAAAACACCAGAATTACCATATGATCCAGTAAGTTCACTTCTGAACTTAGTCAAAGAATTAAAAGCAAAGTGTTGAAGAAGTATGTACACCCCTATGTTGACAACCAGCATTATCCACAAGAATGGCTGGGTAGAAGCAACCTGAATGTCCACAGTCAGACGAATGAATGAATCAACTGTATTATATATACATACAATGGATCATTCAGCCTAAAAAAAAGGCAGGAAACTCTAGTATACACTACAATATACAGGAACCTTGACAATGTTATGCTAAGTGAGATAAACCTGTCACAAAAAGACAAAGTTTGAGCAAAAATCCAAAAGCTCTGCAAGCTGAAACACTTATGTCTAACATTTCCAATGAGGAATATTCAATGTGTAATATGACAAGGTACCTAGAATAGTTAAATTCATAGAGGCATAAAGTACAATGGTGACTGCCAGAGTCTGGTGGGGAGGGGATTGAGTGTTATATTTATTGGGCACAGATTTTCAGTTTAAGAAAATGAAAAGAGCTCTGGAGATGCACAATCACAACAGCTACACAACTGTGAATATACTTCATGCCACTGAATTATAGACATAAAAGTGGTTAAAATGGTAAATTTTATGCTATATGCATTTTTCCACACTAAAAACATGCTACTGCTAGAATCAACCTTTCCAGTTATCTAGTCCAAGGTCCCATTAAACAGGAGGACTTTTTCTTTAAAAAGTCACCTAGCCTCTGGCCGATCAGGGTAAATACCACTCATTCCACCAGGAAGTCTTACAGAGAGTTAGATTTAAATGACATTTTTTCTTATGCTCTTCCTATACTAATCTATTTATTACTTCATTCTATGACAAATCTTTCAACATATGCATATAGTTTTAATGTCAGTCCTTAATCTTCTATAAAACCAAACAATCCCACTACTTTCAATCATTTGTGACTCTCATATGGTAGTTATAAATCATTATACTAGATCTCCAGAGTGTTTTCTAGTTTGCTACTAGAGTTTTTTCTAAAATACCCCAATTCAGCATAATGTAAACAGGAGATGGAGGAGTGGAGCTACTTATTCTCCATGATCTAGAAAACATATTATTCTTATTGCTATGTTTTACCATGAAACCTAGTATTGTACTAGGGACCTTTAGTGTTCACACTGTTGTAGTGCTTCATATTTTAAAACCACAAATTTTGTAACAATTTAGTATAGAAACATAATCTAAAAGAGTTGTTGTTAATTATTCACTTAAGGAAAATCTACAGATAAAATCTTTATGTGGCATTATATAATTTGGTCATAGGAAAAGTTCATTTTTAATACTTGTACTTAGACAATAAAAATTTAATAAACATTTAAGCAAATCTTTAACTGCAAAGTTTTCCATTGAAGAAAGTTGGTATGAAGTGAATACATCATTCCTGCTCCAATAAGTGACCTAAGATCTGCTAATAATCTAAGATCGTTTAAGAGAATTAAAAATCAAATATAAACACACTTAATTAAACATGAGTAAGTATTCCAATTAATATTTACCTTGAACATTTAGCACCCTTTCTACATTAACATCAGATAATCTCTTTTTTCGAAGTTCAGCACGTATCCTGAACACCTGATCAGCGTATGGAGTCACCACACCAATGCTACCGTCATCTAACTTCCCCCATGCTACTGGCCACTTCCTTCTCAACTCTTCTACACGTTCCACAACTTCAAATACCTTTAAAACAAATACATACATATGTATTAGTTATCATCCATGTTTGGAGAAAGAATATGGTAACATGCTAAAAGTGATGTATAAAAGACCTCATCTTAGCAAATACTGGTTTTAAAACCATTAAATGGCACTGTTTTCTTTATATGAACTCAGTAAAAAAATACATTTTATTCAGATTTCAAACAATAAAATTCTACAGTAATGCAACTAGTGAAAACATGAAAATCAGAGACAATTTAATTTGTTGTTATTTTCACTACAAGAAATAAGAAAGAGTGGGACTAATTATACTATGATAAGAAATAGGAAAAACCCAATTAAGTCTCTTTACCCATGTGGTTAGATGTGGCATGGATGAAACTTGGGAGAGACCCCTCTGCTGAATGCCTACCTCCTGAGTTCATACCACTAAGTCACATACAACTGTTCCCTCATTTTATTCTTGTTCACATCTTTATACTATGTTCCAGGCAGCATAACACTATAGTCAAAGTACCCAGACTTGTCACTTATTCAACAAAATCAACAGAAATTTCCTAAGAACTACAGGAAGCTAGGACATTCAGTCTAGGGACTGTACTCACCCATCACAGCTCTGTTCTATGTAACTGTTTCAGCAGCCAATTCTCATATACCCCAGCTCCTTGTGAGGAAACAGCTATTGTAGGTGATCTTGGAAGCTCATAAACACTGGCAAATCCTATTTTCCACAGGTCCATGCTGCAGAAGGCCTATAGTGAGCAGTCCGCAGCAGGTGGACACTGTTTCCCTAGCCTCATCTCCTTCTACACAGAGAAGATTTGAATGGGACAGTAGGCAAAGACTGCGAGTATCTCTCACTCCCCACCTCCCCAGAAAAGATTGCAGTGCCCTTTCCCACACAGTTCTATATTGCTGGAGAGCTGATGTAATAGTTTTGGCAGCTGGATGACTATTCCCGTCTTTCCGGGACAGAAGACCTATCGTAGAGATTCAATGGCCAGTGAACACCAGCAGTTCCCAATCTCCCCTGGACTGGGTCATAGAAAGATCTACAGTGGGTGGTGGCAACAGATAGATGGCAATCTGTTTCTGTTTGTCTCTGTCTGTCTGCCTGTCTGTGTCTCTGTCAAACACACACACAACATCTCTCTGGCTCCCCCTAAAAAAGTATCAGTAACAACATTGAATGTGAATGGATTAAACAATTCAATCAAAAGTCACACTTTCAGACTAGATTTCTAAAAATACATCAAACGAAATGCTGTCTACAGAAGACATATTTTGGATTGAGGGATATAAAAAAGATGAAAACAAAAGAACAGAAAAAGATAAACCACGCAAATGGCGATCATAAATGAGCCGCAGTGACTAATAATATTTTAAAAGTCTACTTTTAATTAACAAAAATTTTATATCTTTCATCACAATTTGCAGTGATAAAAGATCAATTCATTGGGAAGCTATAGCAACTGTAAACACATATACCAAAAGCTACATATTCCCAAAGTATACGAAGCAAAAATCATATTCTCTGTGATTCAAGTCTCACAAAACCCAATGGATTCATTTCCCATATCTCTACAACCTTGTCTGTCATATATTCTATCTTCTGATTACTTGTTCCCATAGCTTTTCCCTTCAGACTGAAACTCTCACAAGTTAGGAATCATATCTTAGTATTTAGTATTTAAATTCTACACTAAATTGAGGCCACTGTATTATTTGTGGGATTCTAATTCAGAGCTAAAAATCTTTTATTCTACCATTTTAAGCATGAGAAAGATGATACTCATTAATATCCTGTAACGTACTTAACATAGTTTTAAAAAACATGTTTCTTAAAAGAATTATATTCTACACAGCAAAAAATAAGTACAGTATTCCTTCAATGACAGATTCTTTACTTTATTTTTAATTCCCAGCTTCTATTTTAAGTCCTTTTTGATCGTGACTTGTAAGTAAGACTAGCTTACCATCATAACAGTGGAATTTAACTATTCACAAGTGGCCTCTTAAATTTTAGTTAGAATCCTTAAAAGAGATCTCACTTTGTCTCTCTCAATAGTACCATCTAGTTTACTCTAAAAAATTACACACCATCAATAAAAGTCTAAAAATTGCCCATGGTGGTACAACCTTGTAATAATCTCAGAACTCTGGGAGGCTAAAGCAGGAGAATTACAAATTCAAGTCCAGTTGGGCAAATTAGTGAGGTCTTGTCTCAAAATAAAAAGTTAAAAAGGGCTGTGGTCATAGCTCAGTGCAAAGGTCCTGGGTTTATTACTCAGTACAAAAGGAAGGAAGGGAAGGGGGTATCAAAGGTTTTTAAACATTTACTGTCCAAGAATGCCACAATGACATCCAAATAGATTTACTGTAGTATTCAAAACTTTGAAATGTCTTCACTGGTATTCAGCTCCAGTAAATTAGGACCAGTTTTTGTTCCTGGTAGAGAAAGCTCGCGGCACAGTATGCCTCAAATTTTTTACTGTAATAATTCAAGGGACTGAAGAAAGTGAATGAACAACTGTGCTCTGGTAAAGTTCAAGGTGGCTTGGAATTTCTCTAAAGTTATGTGTTTAATATTTAAAGGTTACACAAATGTTGCCTTTGTCCTTTTTTAATATGAAGTTTGTATTTTTCCCCAAAATTTTTAGAGTAAAATTGACAATTCAGGAAGATCTATTTTATACTATAGCTTATACATTTCCTTGAAAATACACCACATCATTGTGAAAGAACAAATAACCCAGAGTGAGAATCAGCCTTTGGCAAATATCAACCCTAATTCAGGGTCAACACAGATCAGGGCTCAGCTCTGATCCCTGGCAGCAGGAAAAGAGAATCTTCTGGATTTTAGGCCCTGCTTTTTTATTGTCAGTCCTTGTACTCACTACCATGGTTCATTTCCAGGCCAGTGGTTTGCAACTCAGATGCAAAATAACAAAGGAGATCCCCCCAGGGTTATTTCAATATTTCAAATATTTTTTTTTAAAGTTTACCTTTTCCTAAAACTAAATGGCATAGGCTAACAAAAATGTCGAGTTTCTTGGCTCCAGGCTAGGATTTTATCAAGCAGTACTGATGATTTTCTTGCACTGACTTCCAACTATAGCTCTCTGATTAATTTTTAAAAGGGAAGATGAGCTAGGCATGGTAGTATAGTCTATGATCTCAGCACTGAGGAAGATTGAGTGAGAGGATTGAAAGTTTAAGATCTCACTTAGGGAACCTCAGTGAGACACTGTCTCAAAATAAAAAGGGCAGGGGATGTAATTCAATGTAAATGCTTTGGGGTTCAATCTCCATACTGAAGGGGGAATGAGTTGCTAGTACATTAAAAAATCATTTTTTTGTAAACAAAACAAATAAATCATCATATTCAAGGACAGTAGAGCTCAGAGAACAGGGACTATTTCCCTAAGGATAATTGTGCACTCCTGTCTTCTTTGGATTTCCTCAAGTCCTTTATGATGGCCAGAACTGTACTTTCAGGTTTCTAGCTTGCTAACCACTAAAGACTTCACTGTGTTTTTGTCTGCTGCCTAATCACGTAGTCTCTCTGAAAGCCAGAAAGTGGAAGAAGACAATATAAACCTGAACATACAAAGCAACAGCAGCATCAGAATTGGTCTGTGTGATATCTTTGGAGCAGAGGATTGTGTAATTTAAGTCTTACTCATTACAAATAATACTTCCTTTGAGTATACACTATGAAATTTAATCAAGATTCTTGGGTTTCAGATGTCTACCAATAATGATGTCTATAGGAGCAATAACATCAGTTTTTTAAAAAATGAAATTGTTTATGTTTTATTATTAAGACAAAAAGTAAATCAGTTTTACTGTTCTACTATAGGAGACTGATCTTAACATATCAATACATAAGAGGAAGAATAAATTTAACACAATTTCATGAAATATAAAATTTCAACCCAAAATTTTAAATAAATGCTCAACAAAACCAGACCGTGTGACTGAGAAAATGTCAACTATATGAAAAAAGAACTAAAGTACCTCAGCATTATTATAAAAAGCTGTGCTGTTTTTTTCTTGTACATCTTCCCCTCGTGCTGTAAAGAAAGTCAGTGGGTAGAAATCCTTGTGTGCCGGTTGCTTTCCACTGGCCATCAGTTTGCCCTCATAAAAAAGCTCAGAGGTATAACTGCAGAGAAAAAAAATTCAAAAGTGTAATCTGTCAACAAAATAATTCTACCTCTCCCACAAAACCCCAAATTCTAATAATATAGTTTTATATCCATGATTACAGTACTTTTAGACCAAATGTTTTGTAATTGTGATTCCAATAATGTCTCCAAAAATAAACATACTAGTAATAAAAAAGAAAGTTATACCATTGGTAAATGAGTTGATTTTGCTAAGGTATGCAGCCAGAATACACAAAGAAAAAGAAGAAATGATGATAGCTCAATGTTGGTTGAAAATCTTTGTACTATGAGAAAATTTGTACAACTAGTACACTTTTTTGATTAATATATACATCTACTTCCACAGACCATGTATTTATACAGTCATGTGCCACATAACAACTTCTTGGTTAACCTATCACAGCCACTGCAACATGGGGGACATGATGTGTTCAACTCATGTGTGGGGTGATGCTGATGCAAACAAACGTATGCTGCTGCCAGTTGAACAAAAGTGCAACATATACAATTATGTACAGTATGTCACACTTGATAATAAATGACTTATTGGCTCATTTATTTGATATACTTTATCATTATTTATTATAAAATAGTATGCTGCGTTACACCAGCTACAGCCTGACACAGTTCGTGTTTACAGCATCTCTTGAATGCATCAAAAGGTCAGGTCAGGTAATTACCATATAAGGTTTGTGCGTAGCTACACTCTAGGATGCTTAGTTATGAAATTCCCAATGACATGTTTTAGAGACTGTATTATGTCACTGAGGCCTGACTATACATGCAAACATACAGATACTGAAACAATGTACCCAACTGCAGGATGTTCAAAGCTTCACCTATAAAATGAATACTTGCTACTAAAGAAGATGCCACCTAGTATTTGACTCATTACTGACTGCAGCAAATGACTGGCAACAGTAAGAGGAAATACATTTTGAGGTATTAGTAAAATATTATCTACCCAATTGTTCTCAGAGATACCTAAAAGTGATTTTCACTTGTGTGACCTCACCAATATTACTAAGTTATACTGAACTATAAAGAAATCTAAATTTCTGGTGGGGACAATGCCTGGAAATAAACACAAGACCTCCAAACTGATAGTAGTGTTGTTTCTCTGACTCGACGCTGGCTACACAGTCTGTGCAGAGTCTGACTATTCACTGAGCAAGTTGTCACAAAGAATATGCTCCCTTTCATAGATGCAGACTATATTTAAAATAAGTCCTTTAAAAACTTTATTCCTCCCTGTCTTATTTCCTCTCTTCTACTCTTAAAACAGACTTGTGGAAAACATAGGAAGAGGCAGATAACCATCTAGGGGAGTACCAATATATTTATTACAGCATGTCATTTTTCACATAGTTTATATAATTAGTCATAGAAAAGTATGTCATAGCTAGTCAAGCCTAAATTTTAGTTTCCACAAATGCCTTATTTGGCAAAATAAAAAAAAATTACAACTATGACTTCTGTAGCATTCTTTTAAAAATATAGAGTAAAACGTAATTTGCAATACTAAGGACATCACATAACCTGCTGGGAATAGCCTATGCCTAGTAACATGCTGATTTGAGTTCCCTGACAGACCACAGAAAGGGTAGGAATCACAGGGGACGGTTCACACCTACTTGATGATAGCTTCATGGGAACGGTAGTTCTCACACAAAAGGATCCTACATGGAAATTCAGCAGGGTAATGCTCGTAAAGTCGATCAAGTAACGAAACGTGAAGGTTTCTCTCCCTGGCAAATTCACTGTAAACAAAAGGACTGAGCTGTAACAGAGAAAAATATAAAGAAAATTTAACACATAAATTATACTTTTTAACCTACTGATAAAATCTGATAGTGCTAGCCAGGTATGATGGCACACTCTTTTTTTTTTTCCCAGACAGACCTGTCCTGGATGTGATGGCACACTTGTAATCTCAGCACACAGGAGGCTCAGGCAGGAGGATTGTTTCAAGTTTGAGACCCCCCCTACAAAGTGAGCCCAAGGCCAGCCTAAATTGCAGTTAGACCCTATCTCAAAAAAGACCAAAAAAAAAAAAAAAAACCCCAAAAACTTACAAAGCTAAAAAGTTATACAATACAATGAGTGTTGGAACACATACATGCACGCACGCGCACGGGCACACCACACACACAATTCTATTATATTCTCCATGAACCATTTTACTCTTAAAAGGACCTAGAGTAAAATTTCAAGTTCTTTTCTGTACTATACCAACCCTAACCTAGAATTTTTACACGTATGTTTATAATAAAAGCCTCCTCCAAATGATAACAAGTAGTGGCTACGTCATTAACTTCAGGGAGGCAACCCACCGCATCACTATGGGAATCACATGAATTATTTCACCAATATTAATCAACTGTTTAAAATAATGAGCTGGTAGGATATACAGACTATGATTAAAAGATTATTTTTAATAATTAACTAAACCCTCTTGATCTCATAAGGTATAAGGAATCATTCTAGGTTATACCTTTGACTATTAAAGGACAAAATTAAACTACTTTAGACAAAGGAACAAAACAGATTTTATTCCTCTACATTCATCTTATTTCTAGATGTCTTGACAGTTCTAATATCATAGTATTATAATCTTAAATCAACTGTGGCAGAAAAAAATAACTTCTACCTGTAACTCTATAAAGCAGCTATCTTTAGTTTTAAAAACTGCATTTCTCTTTCTTCTCTATAGGTATTCAAACACATAAACTGACATATGCTTTGAGATTTTGATTTTTAACTAAGCCCATTGTTTCTTATGATACCAAAAAAATTATCCTTTAAAAAATAGGTATTAGAAACAAGAATCAGGGAATTGCAGGAATGATAATTTAAATCTGACTTATAAAGAAAAGTAAAAGGGTTAGGTGTGGCTCAGCGATACAGTGCTTGCTTGGCACGCATGAAGCCTTGAATTCACACCCAGCACAGGAGCCAACGGCAATGTCAAATGTGCATAATGCAGAGAAAAGAGATTCAAGTTAATAAACATTAAAACTGTAATACTGTTAAGAGTCTCATTCACTCCAAATTATCTAAACAAAAATTTCATAGTATGCTTCAGAAAACAGAGTATTAAACAACAAAATATAATTAAAAGTTACTTTCAGTACAATGACTGAGAAGGCACTTACCTGCATGTGATCACCAGCCAAAACAATCCGAGTACTTTTAGTTGCTAATGCTAGAGGCATAATAGTTTCACACTCCATGGCCTGAGCAGCTTCATCTAACAGAATGTGTGTAAAAAAACCTACAAAATATAAGGTAAATACAGTAAAGCATATTATAGCAGCAATAAAGGTAGAAGTAGTTATTTTCTTTTTTGCTAAGGAGTTTATTACCTAAGACTTGTAAGTTCTTTTAAGGCCTATCCTTATCATCAATTCAAACCCTTACTTTAAAAATAATGATTAAGAGTAACTATTTAATTTGATAAAAGGTATTTGTAAACTGATCTGATACTCAAAGATTAACAGTTAAATCAGTAAATACAGAAGAGATTTTAAAAGTACAAGATACTGGGCTTTTGACCAAAAGAGCACTCAACCACTGAAAGTCCCAAAACTGTTCACTATTTACTTGTCAGAACCCTCACAATACTGAGTATGCAATAAACATGCATATTAGAAATTAAAGAAAATCATATTAGAATCTAATGTAAAGAAAAAAGTTATAATCCAATTAGGACTGAAACAAGGGTATCTTATTAGCAAATTTGCTAATCTGATTGTTTAGGTTCATTTTTCATAGATAGTGATGCAGTGCTTAACAGGTATCTGTTTTACGAAGTGTGGTATGAAGCAATTTTGTCACTATCACAACATCAAATTTACATGGCCCAGCCTGCCACACATCTAGACTAAACATGGACCACATATATATTCAATGTTTCACTCAAGAGTGGGACATATGGGACTAAGCTCCCATAAGGCTGTAATGAATATATAGATATTATATCCTATTAGTCCTACAGCCATGATGAACAAAACAACATGACATCAAATCAAACAAAAAAATGATGGAAAACATTTTTTGTGTGAGTAGGGTATCTAAAAATGATAATGGTATAGTAGCAGGGTATGATAGCACATGCCTGTGATCCCCAGCTACTCAGAAGGCTGAGACAGGAGGACTGTTTGAGCCTGTGAGTTCAAAATCAGCTTGGGCAAGATAGTGAGACCCCCGTCTCAGATAGGTAGGTAGGTAGACAGACAGATACACAAGGAAGCAAATAATACATACACCAGGAATACTGTTGTCTATTATCATCATACATAGTACATGACTGTATTGCCATACTTTTAGAGCAGGCTTGTCCCGACCACTGTCACCATTAACATGTGAGCAATGAATATGCAATCACTTCATGCTTCATCACTTCACCAGGCTACAGGAATCTCTTAGCTCCATTACAATTTTATGGAACCACTGTCACATGCAACATCCACTGTTGACTGAAATACTGTTACACAGCACGTAACCACATAGACAGATAGACAAGACACACATTTTAGATCCTGTGTTTTTTAAAAAATATATATTATTTTCAAAATTAGCAACTGAGAATCCATGTCACATATGTACATTTTCAAATGTTCCTCAGATAAAAATCACCACAGTGGGCAGAATCTCATGTCTTGTCTGCTGCTACCACTCACCCAAGGGCACGGTGCTCTGTATGCAAGAAAAGGGAAAATGTCCCCTTTTTCCTGAGCGGGAAGAGACAAAAACCTCTTTGGTAACTTAAGGAAGGAAAAAGTCCCAACCCTTCACCCGGCTGCCCACTCTTCAGAATAGGAAGCTCTCTACCAACAAATTATGTAGCTTTTAAACAGAATGGAAAGTGATAAAACTGTAGAAGCCAGAGGTACAACAGGTTAACCAGCTTCCTATGAATTGTGCAGGAGCCTGATCCATTTTTGTACCTGCTGCTAATTTAAAACAATCTGTTTATACAGGTTAACCAGCTTCCTATGAATTGTTCAGGAGCCTGATCCATTTTTGTACCTGCTGCTAAAAGTATCAAGAATTTAAAACAATCTGTTTATACAATTTTCTAACTGTTTTTAAGCTAAGAACTTTCTAAATCTGACTGGTTGACAGTAATAACTACCATCCATCACCCAAACAAATAGCTAGGAGCAAAAATACAGGTATGAAGTTTGGGTTAACTAAAGAGACTAATTGTTAGACAAACATATCAAAACTTACATTTCGATTTACTGTTGTTCCAGTTTAAAGAAGTCTCGTGGAAGAAAATATAACTTATTCTAATGATGCTGCCACTGTTCGAAATCATTTTTAAATTGTGCTTTTGTAATTGTCCATTTGTTCACCTATCTTATTCATCTTAGATACATTTCAAAAAGGATTTTGAAGGCTTTTGAAACTAAATCTATCCTTAATTAAAAACTAAAAGGTTGGGCAACATTTTTTTCTTTAAGACAAACAGAAGTTAATCAAGAACTTCCATGTGTCTATTCCTGGGCGAGGTGCCAGGAATACAAAAGTGAAGAGAACCGTCTCTACCTTCCAGGAATTCAGTTGTTCCAAAGAATGTTGTGGGTTCTGAAAACAATTCCAAAAGGAGATGGCAAAAAAGTACTGAGCAGTGTCAACAATTTGAACAGTATAAATGAACACCCTTCTAAAACATCCATTTTAAAGTGACGCTGCTTTCTGATGGTTAAGTTCTACCGTATTTTTCAAAACCACTAGTCATCTTACATCTGTATTCATAAATTAAGTAGATTTTACAGTTTTAGCCAAAAATGTAATAGTCTTAATAATATGTCATAAAAAATCCCGCATGACCGTTGTCTCAGTACTATATAATGCAAAGGCAATTTAAGACACAAACTTGAAAAATTATTAAAAAATCAGTAGACCCCAAATTTGAATTCTTCAGATAATCATTAATAAATAGGTACCACTTGATCAACCAGAGAACAAATGGAATCACAAAATACTGTCACAAAAATTCTGGCAGGATTTTAAGAAAAACATAGTTTCATTGTGTTTATGTTAGGTCTTGTGGGCCACAAAGTCATTGCTGCAACTACTACACTCAACTATAATAGCATAAAAGCACCTATAGACAAGAAACAGTAAGTAAATAAGCATGAATGGCTGTTCTCCGTCCAATTAAACTATTTACAAAATCAGGCAGTTGGCAGATTTGGCCTGCCAGCTACAGAGAACCAACCCCTGGAAGATACTGCGAATGCATACCGGGGTCAAGATCCAACTGACAGAGGTACTGGGAAGTGTTCAGAGTCACTACCACCACCCGGTGTTTAAGAATATCTTCTTTCTGTGGCATCTGAAAGGTGGAATGTGCGTTTGAGATCAAACAGTACTGGTGGACAACTGGGTGGACAGTCTTGACCCAGCGATTTCGGAAATATACCCTATAAAAGAAAATTAATAGTTGAGATTTATCCTTACTTTAACAGTTATTATTAAAATATTAACATTGCTATTTTAAGACTATAATATCTGGAAGTCAACCAAAAAAATCCCTTGACTGTTAACAACCCTACTGAATTAGAATCTAACATAAAATTATCACTATAACCACTATGGCTGCCCCTTAGCAAAAAAAAAAAAAAAAAAGATTTAAGCAGAAAGTATAGACGCTACTACAAAATAAATAATTAGTTTTAAATGTTCAGATTAAACTTACAACATTAGAAATGACATACAAGCATGAGTTACAAGCATTACAATTTTTAAATTGAATATCTTTCCATTATGGAATTAGTTTTTCCTAGCACATCCTCATAAAAATATATTAGTGCCTATTTAATTATTTATGATAATAAAAAATAGATACAATAGAAATTCAACAGTTTTTGCATGTATCCCAACCCTTTTGTTAGCTTTTACTTTGAGACAAGTAAGTTGCTAAGTTGCCCAGGCTGGGCTCAAATTTGTGATCCTCCTGCCTCAGCCTCCCAGTGTTGGGACTTATAGGGCTGCGTCACCATTACCAGGTACAAAATGTCTTATACCTGTATCTAAACAGACCTCTAACTGAAGTTCTAGAAATTTAAAAATAAATTTAAATTTTAAAAAATCAAAACGTCTTTAAGAGTGAAAATTTTAAAGTAAATCTTTTCCATTAATTTCAACTGAAAAGTATTAATAGGCCTGATATTGTAGATTATTAAGATGGTACAGAAATGACTAAACCATCCACTTATCTATCTCTAACCTGTTCATATAGCAATCTTTTGGGTATAACAGTTAGAATGCACAGGGCTTGGTAATATCATAAAGGCTTTGGATTTCCTCTGGGTTTAATGAAAAAGGATTAGAATCTGACAGGGCAGTCATGACTTAAGTGACATAAAAGACTGAATGGACCACTCCCCCACACTTGGGAAGAGGGTTACACTTTAAAGTGCTAGTGAATATTTAACAATCAGCTTTGGGGAGGGGGCTGGTTGATAGTGTTTGCTGTTTTATGTGGTGTAAAACTACAACTATGACTATTAGCATGGTTACTCATGACATCACTGAGCACACACGTGTGAAGATAAGTTTATGATCAGCTCTCACAAGCCAGTACCAGTTGGTCCCACCACACCACTGAGTGAGATGTAGAAGCATGATACCACCTGGGTTACTGTAAGGATCTAGAAAAGAGACTAGCTTAGATTAGAATGGTAATAGTGGAGATCTGATAACAGATAAGACTCACCAAATCTTTTTTGAGACAAGGTCTCACTAATAGTTCAAATTGCCCTTGAACTATATATACCTGGCTGGCCTCAAACTTGATCCTACCTCAACCATGCTGGAATAACAGGGGTGTGCCACCACTCCTGGCTAGATTCACGAAACATTTTAAGAACAATGCAAACATCAGTTAAATTCCCAGTATCTACACCTCTCCCTTGCCAAAAAAGAATAATGCAACTTACTGATGAACTAGAGGTAAAATTTAAGAGAAAGGAAGATTCCATGCTTTTAAAACTAGATGACCCTTGACTGATGTGCTTTGAATTTTTTTTTTTAGTATTTTTTTCTTTCTTTTTATGTTTGAATAAAATGGATTTTAAAAAAAATAAAGAAAGAAGGAAAAACGAAACTGGACAAATGCTGGCAGTGTTCACAAAGGTGGTGAAACAGAGAAACAGATTGAGGAGGAATCTGGGAGTTCTGTTTTACACAAATTTTAGTTAACATATAAATGGAAATATCTGCATGAAGAATGATACATGCTTGAAGTTCAGGAGAATGCCTCGGTCAAATGGCATATAACTGAAGGAGTACTAAACCTGGAGACTACATAAGAGCACCTGGAGAGTAAGAACAGATTTTAAAAAAATAAATTGCTGGAAGAAAGAAAAACAGATGCACTTTCCCAATACTGAGAAAAGAATAGGATACATCTAAGTGACTGGGAAAGAACCGTCATTGAAATAGAGAATTGTAGAGCATGTGCAGTACTAGATACAGAATAAAGTGTTTCAAGAGTAAGAAAAAAAAAGAAAAAAGAAAAAAGCTAGAAGTGGTGGCATACATAGGTAATGCCAGCACTTCAGAAACTGAAGCAGCCTGGGCTACATAGTGAATACCAGGCTAGCCTCACCTACACAGTGAGCCTCTGGCTCAAAAACAAAAATAAGATACCAGACATGATGGCACACTTCTGTAATCCCAGCACTCAGGAGACTGAGGCAAGCAGATGGTTGCAAGTTCAAGACCAGCCCGGGCTACAAAGTGAACCCAAGGCTAGCGTGAACCGCATAGCAAGACCCTCTCTCAAAAACACACAAAAAAATTTTTTAATTAAAAAATAAAAATAAGAGACAAATAGAGGACTAACTGCCAAAAACTGCTCAAAGCTAAATAAAATGAGGACTGACCATGGCCTTAGCATCAAGAAAACCACTGTTGACCACAAAGTGGTTTCAGGATAGAAATAAAGAAGGACACCTGATTAACTTGAGCTTACTCAAGGGAAGAAGAGGGGATGTAGAGCCAAGCAGTACAGATAGCTGTTTAAGTTTCGCTTCAAGGAAAGCAGGTAAGTTCCCTTCAGTTGTTTTTTAAAAATACTGTAATAGGAAACAATATAGGAGAGGAAAAGTTGTATAGAGAGAAAAGAATGAGAGCTCATTTACATGTGACAAATGGATTTCCAAAGGAGGAAGAATGGATTAAAATAAAAGGAGAAGTGATTATCTAGCTGCTGCAAGAGGGAAGACCTCTCAAAGTGAAACTGTGGACATTCTCCTCTGGGTATACCTAATTTTTTGGTAAAATTACAAAGCTTACCAACTGGTGGTTGTTTTCATATTTTATTACTTCTTTTTGATAGTGAAGAAAAGTGAATCCTAAAGGGTTTACAGCCAGGACTCAAATTTGTGTCCCTACCCTCTCTAAATCATGTACCTTATTTCCAAAATGGATTTAACAATTCAAACTCTCAAGGATTGGGAAAACCAAATGGAATAACACATATTTAGTATGCAGCACAATATCTAGCAGCAACAAACAGAAGTCCTCTGCTTCCCTTCAGCCACAGCAAAGTTGAAACTAAAATGAGTATTTCTGATACCAGATAACATTCAATACATATTATACAAATGCAAAAAGGCCAGACAGGAGACCAGGGCATAGCAAAGCTGGCTGGGTAAGTAGCTATGCCCTGTTATTACAAAATATCCTAGGACACCTTCACAAAACAGTTCCCCAACCTCTGCATGTACCTTCTAATAAGAAGGCCAGCAGGCTTTCCAGTTAATGACCTAGACAACATCAGCCTGGGTGGGGTGACACTTTAGAAAGGGTGTCCACCCTAAGTTTTTGCCATTACCTTTTATCTTCCATGGTGACTGCCTTCCCAAGGGTGCACTTTGTTTCCTACTTTTACTTGGCCCAAACTTGCTCTGCAGAACCGGTTTCTTTCCCTATCTTTAATAAAACTTTGCTATCATTTGTGCTTGTCTTGACCATTTTTTTGCTTGGGAGAGAAAGAATCTAGAAATCACCTTCAGAAGGAGACTCTAGCTCCTCAAAACCTGGTAACAATATGAGTATAAGCAGCGAAACCAACTAAGTAAGGTATGTTTTCTACTTCATCCAGAAGCATGTATGGTTGAGAAGTATTTTATTCAGTAAGCCATCACGTGAAACAAAGGTATTTTTTACTAGACTTCTGGTAAGTAGGAAGATCTGCTACTAAGTGTCTCACCAGCCTGAAATTTCACAATTTCTTTTTCTCAATGAACCACCAATTGTTAGTAGGCTCTTTTTTCTTATGTTAATGGTTCTTCAAGCTTAAAGCCTCTGCACATTTGACTAGAGAAAGTTAAATTATTTTTGCAAGCAAAGAAAGCTTTGAAAATTGTTTTTACTATCCAGAATAATCATAAAACAGCTTGCTTTGTTAGACACTGGAACTATTATAACATTAATATTAAACCTTAAATCATGATTTTTTAAAAATTTTGAGACAGGATTTTGCTATGCAGTCCAGCTTAGTCTTGACTCACTATGTAGCCCAGCCTGGCCTGGAACTCATGGTGATCTTCCTGCCTCAGCTTCCCAAGTACACCATCACACCCAACTAAATAACAAATTTTATATTAAAACTTATTCCCCAAACACTTATTTTTCAGAAAATTTTTTAAGAAAATTAGTATGTAAACTAGTTGAATCATTATGGAAATCAGTATGGAGATTTCTCTAAGAACTGAAATTAGGAACTCCATACGACCAGCTAACATCTTTCTAGGTATCTTCCTCAAAGAGCTTAAGTCATCATACTACAGCAATACATGCATACTGATTTTTATAGCAGCAAATTTTATAACTAAATTCTGGAAGCAGCCTGTATACCTATCAACAGATGACTAGATACAGAAAATGTTGTATCTATATATAAAAGAATACTATTCAGCTATAAAGAATGACAAATTTGACACATCTGTAAAGAAAAAGACCAATTCCTTTCTACCTGGAATATATACTGTTGAGTGAACTAGATCAGACACACAAGTTTAAATACCACTGGTATCTCTCATTTGAGTAAGACAAAGTACAAACAGAATAATAAACCATGCCATGGATAGAAGAGGACAAGGGAATATATCTCTTTCAATAGGGATGCAGCTCAAGGCAACAGGGTGAGGTGTGAGGAGGAGGGAGAGGGGAAAAAGTAGAATAAGGAGATATACCACTTACAAGGACCTAATAACTTCAATGAATGCAACCCAATAACCTCAATTTTAGGTCATAATATGACCCAAGGTGAACAATATCAACAAAAATAAAAATCAGGATAGGGGAGTCAAGAGGAGAAAGGAGAAAGGAGGGAGAGGTAAGGGGATGGAAATTTTAACAAAGAACAAGCTGTACCTATTCCCTAAGAAGATTATAAACTACATGGATTGCA